ACAACATTCATTTATTTGCCATTTTATTGAATGAAATTTTTAATTCTAATCAATTACTGATAAAAGAATATTTTTCATGTTCATTCCATATTTATATTTAGATAAGAAAATTTATTCAATTAATTCATTGATTTTTAATTATTAAAGTGTTTTTTTTTTTTTCATTAAATAATGAGGAATTTTATTAAATTCATTTCTTGATAGAAAATCAGCAAAATATTTTGAAACTGAGATATAAACTGTCTTCGATGAAATTTCGATATTATACTGATATAGATTCACAAAGAACTGAACATGTCAAACTGTTTTATAAACAATTTTACGAACTCAGAGAGATCGATGATGTTTACACGAAAACATCGAGAGCAAAATCTTTTGATTTTTTTTCACAGTCAACTCTTCGTTGGACTCCAATAAAAATACCCCAATTTAAAAGTAAAAAAAACTTGTTGAAATTCATAGCATTTTATAATAAAACATATTGATGCACCATTTTATTCAAAATCGAGTCTATTGAAGAAAAAAATCGTTTCTAAATCTAAAAAAGATTATTTCAAGAAAATTCGGTTAATATTTATATTAATTAAAAATATTTTAACCATCACTTCGATTAAAAAAAAATTAATATCCTTGAAATATATTTTAAATAGCGTAACAATAATATATTGATCATATCTAATATATTAGAAAGGATTTTTTGTGTAAATTAAATTTTTTTCTATTTAAAAAAATATTTTGTTTTAATGATTGAGAGTTATTTTTATTGAATTTGTTAATTCATTTTTAGTGGTTGATATCAATGGAAAAATGATATAAATGAATCTGGCAAGACATCCATATATCTCAGACAAAAAAGAGATTTTACGCCAAAAGGCATTTCCTGTGAGAAATCAATTTAGCCAGTGCAGCCGTGCGACGCGTCTACTCTCGCGTCATACAGTTTTATTGAGCGTCCTATTTATCGCCAAAATTCCCAGCCGGGTTTCCATCTTTTTCTCTTTTTCATCTGTCTCCTTTTTGACCAACTCAAGTGTGATTCTTGCCGACTACATATCATCAAATGAGTGTAGTTGCAAATTCCATCGAAATAATCATTATACTTGAGGTACTTTTCTGCACCAAATATGTCTGTAAAATAGAGAATTACCAAGATATTACTACATTCACCATTTCTAATCCCCACAATGTTAAGAAAAACCCTCTATCCGTCTACATTATAGCCGATAAAGTTGTCACAGTCAACTGCAAATCGAAGTGCGTTCAGACATAACAGAGAATGTTGTAGGCGAAAATAACAAGTAAGATAACATTGTAATATACTTGTGAATAAGAAGCAGTCACTGATGCATAGTCTTGCATTTTTTTTTTCATCTTGTTTTATTTCTTTTCCTGTTTCATTTCCAAGAAAGCATTAAGATATCAGGGCATAGTAGAATACAATTTTCTTCGTGCGTCGACCTAATCTACGGATGCATAAATATCTTGAAATACATCCAAAGATACTTTATAAAAAGATCTATTGCATAGAATAGTTTCAATGACAAAATGACTCACACTAAAAATTCCAAATATTGATCTATATTTTTAACTTTTTAATTTGTATTATTTATTTATTAAAATTTTTATTTTAAAAAATTCTAATAAAAATAAGTTAATATTTCATTTTATTTATTAATTCGGATAAGCTGTATTATTTAAATTATTATTAAATTATATTGGTGTTATGATTAAGTTGCAAAAGATCATGCAATCTTTTTTTTTGGAAAATTTTATAAATATTTACAAATAATAATATTTGAATTTCTTATGGCTTTTATGGGAAATAATTAATTTAAAAAAAAAATGTTTTCATTATTCCTGATAATGGTATTAAATGAATTGACCATTTTGAGTTGTCCATAATTTTTTAGGCAATTATAAAATGATTATTCGAATTTTCTTAGCACTTGTTTGCCATCTTTTTATAGCTTTGGCACATGCACTAAATACTCCTGATATATACAAGAATAAATTTACATTTGGAAATTCAAACTTCATTGTTCCGACCATTTTCTCAACTCTTTGTCTTATTTTTATCAATTAAAATAATTAAATTACCTTTCTATCCAAAATATTAAAAGAGAAAAATGAATATATCTTTGATCAACAAAATAGATGTTCGATAAAAGTAATTAATTTATACTCCACTTTTAAAAATAAATTTAATAATTTAATTGGATCATAAGACAAATTTATAGTGAATGCTTTTATGCACGTGAATGATTATTGCCACCAGTCTGACCCTTTAAATGTAATAAATTAATTAATGCTTGTTATTGAGAAAAATTCATCTTTAATCAAATTATATTATTTGACCCTCACCTAGGGTCTCTCTCGCATACTCCGTGTCTCTCTGTGTTATTATTTCTCCCGCTACTTTTTACCCTCTCTACATAACACTTGACTACACAAAAACACAATGTGCCAAAATGAAACACGAAGTTCGAGTACTGGCTTCTTTGTAGTCTGTGTTCTTTCAAGTGATTGAAATTTTTCGATGTTTTGTGTAGTCATAGTTTCACTCAAGTACCAATATTTCACTTTAAAATTAATGCACAATTTAGATAATGATTTTTTACTCCTGAAATATTGGTGATGATATCAAAATTGGTGTACATACAATGCTGATATGTTTTCAAATTATCACAACAATGCAACCATTGAATAGTGTTACGGAATTTTCAACTTTTCTTTGATAAAGTGAGTTTGATACTTCATTTTAACCATACACTCTGTGATGAATGACATTTTATTAATATTTTTCTTGATAAAATATATTTTTTTATCAACTAAAAATAGAAATAAGTAATTAATTAATTCATATTTTAAATAATTATTTTAAAGAAAATATAAACACTATGTCGATGAAGCTCCAACATATCGACACTTAATCAGCTTGAAAAGCAAAAAATTTAATTAAATAGTTGATTATTAGTAAGTTTCACTCAACCATTTGTCACAAAATGGATAAAAAATTGAAGATGAAAAATTCTCTTATGTGAACCGCAGAACAACAGGGTCAAGCTTAGCCGGATGCTGGTGTGCTTGACATCTGCTCTCCGAAACTAGCTTGAGATTCGACTAATGCTCAGAACCGAAGCTTGATATACTGTCAGTTCGACAGCTGATTTTATGATAACCTGAATTGTTTGGTTTTGTGATATTCACAATATCCGATAACACCACAGATTAGTTACAATTCGTCGACATCATCATCATCATCATTTATTGATCTAAATTTTAAATAAAGTGTATGTAAAAACACTTATTTAAATAACATCTACTGCATAAATACGACATACACTACTGTAAATTATATATCAACGTATTTTCTCGTTACTTGATCATCATTTAAATCTATCTATCTATCTAATATATTACTCATCATTTTGCAAAAATATCATGTTCCACTTCCACGTGTGATTATCTTATCTTGATTCTGCATACATACACAAAGAAAAAATTGATGAAATTATTATTGGAGTTCGAATAAACTTTCATACACTGAGGGAAAAAGTTTTATTATACAAAAAAATGTTCATGTAATTAATAGAAATACTTTAAAATATTTTATTGAATTTAAATACTTATTTTGATATTTCGTTCAAGATTATGATAAGTTAATTAATTCATATTTTATAAAATTCCATGGATCTTGAAAAAAAATTATCAATTAAATGAAACACTAGAATAAATTAATTCTCAGATTATTCTATTCGAAATAATCAAGTACAATTACCATGTATTTTTTAAATAAATTATTTTTAGTAACATAAATAATAAATAAGATAATGAGTATAAAAAAATTTTTTTTTAAATAATAATTATTTTATCAGATTTTTTATATTTAAATCAACATAAATAATGTAATAATTATTATTCTATCAATCATAAATGATTAAATACTGGATTTATAAATTTTAAATACACTTATTATTACAATAATACAAAGTACACTCCTAGTATGAATAATTACATTTATTGAATCTCAATTATAACAATTTTATATTCTTAAATATGATAAAATAAACACCCCAATTACTTTAACTTAATAATACTCCAATTTAAGCGAACTAAAAAATTTTCCAAGTTATAAAAAAATTTTTACAAAAACACTAGTATGAATTTCGACAATTTTTTTTTACATTTGTCAAATCGTGATTATTTTTCTTTGCTACAAGTAGTTAGTAGCATTTGATAAAATTCATGACACGTGTCAGAATAGTACGTTGTGCTTTTAATCTTTTTATAGATAGCATCGAAAGAAATTTTACGCTTGCTATTAAATTTTTTTTTAAACACGTGAAAACATTACAGCGTAAATTATCATAATTAAATTGAAACAAAAAAGAAAATTTCAATATTGTTAATATTGATTCATTAAATATATATGTTTTGTTTTGGTATATTTGTTACGGTAACGTAAATGCGACCTTCATCGTAAAATCCTTTCTGAACTTGATTACATGAACGAATATTATGACCACGTTATGAAATACGAGGTAGATTTAATTGCATATGGTTCATTGTAATGTATTTGTATGACTTCTTTTTATTGGTTTAACATCAATTTTGAATAATGTGCAGGTTTTTATTATTGTAAATCAATTAGAAATATTTACTAACAAAACAAACATGAATGAGTTCATAAATAATCATATTTAATAAAAAAAAGTTAAGGTTAATTGACTAATAGATAAAACACTACCTAGAAAATAAATGAAAGGTTAAAATCATAATAAAATAATAATTCAAATACATTCAATAACTTTAGATCAAGATCAGATTGATTAAAAAAAAGTATTCAGATGATTAATTATGTGTAATAATTTTTTATTTTTTTATTTATCTTTTGATGTATTAATTTATACAAAATATAATCAAATGAATATATTTAGAAATATTGTCAATAATTTAATAGAATAATTGAACTAAACAACCTGTTTTGTTTTATATTTCAGAAATCAGATACATCACCATAAAACCTCATGAAAGCTGGCTGAAGAAGTTGATAACAAAAATGTATGGAACTGATAATTAAAAAGAAACTATAAATGGAGTAAATAAGTGAACATCATAAATATTTACAAGTGGAAAAAGAGACACCTAAATCAGTGAAATAAAACTCTGGAGACCAATGGTCAAACCATCTGGATCGGGATGACTTCACATCAAGTAATTTGGCGACACAAAGCCCCAAATGATAAACAACATGTTTTTGATGTTTATATGAATGGCATGAATCAAAGAAATGTTTCCTGAACACCGATTTGTCTACCTCAGCTTTAAGGCAAATATGAAGTGGTGTCGTCCACGTCAATGCCGCTGACATTACTGCGGTTACTTGAAAGGTGTCATTACATTATCAATAACATCGATCACGTAAAGATAGTGGATTGATTCTGATAAAGTTAAAGACACCTTCAAGTAAGGAGAAGAAGAAATAACTTGAAAGAATAATTAAATGATTTGATTCCAATGGAGTCTTCCATAGTGAATAAAAAAGAAGACGAAAGAGAGTCCAGTGTTGGATGTCCAAATTGTTTAGTCCACCTAAACTCATCAGCAAGACTGAATGATACATGTGAGCTTTGCTCACGTCTTTATGGCAAATCTAACAACGTCACGTTGACTACAGCTAAAAAATTAACAGTCGAATGCCTAAATAGTGTCAGTTGGCGTTGTTGTAAAAGAACAATGATAAAACATCAACGTTCTTCACAATCTTTAAATCAGTGCGGAATGTCTAGATGTGCTTCAAGTGTTGTGCGATGGAGTTCTTTTAATAAAACGTTTTCATACTTACATCTCATCTTTATCATCGTAATTTTCTTTTCTTTTATAACTGCCAGTTATGCGCAATTAAGTACTTCGCTTAAAAAAACCTCGAACTCCTCCAGATCAGATGGTAAATATCATTTATTTTCTATTCTTATTAAATTATGATATATGAATAAGTTTAGTTACTAGTATGTGGGGGATAGTACTGAATAAAAATTTCCATCATGATGTAGTTAGGCTGGGGATGAGTAGGTGGTGTGTTAAAAGTTACCTACTTTGAAGCTAAAATCAACATGTAAAAAATTGAGAATTATTTTTTTTATTTATTGCATATCAATTTATTACTACTATTTAAATACTTATTTATTACTAGTCATATTCTTTTTTATAAACGATTCCTTCAGTGGTGTGCATTTCGATTTTCAAACAAATGAGAAGTTAGTACAGAGGATTAATTTAATAAATCATAATAATAAGTTTTACTTATTCATAATAAATATTTGGAATGAAGTAATATTTAATAATAATGTTGAAGCATTTACTTAACAAACTCGACTAAAACATGAACACAGTAAAAAATTTTTACATATTCATGCAGAGATATATTTATTTATTTATTTATATCTTTACTACTAAGAATGTTTAAAATAAAACATTTTAAGCTTTACACGTGTCGTATAAAAGAGAATTATCAATAGCAAAATTGTCGTACTATGTAATATCGACTAAACACAAGTGACAGCTTCTCGTACGACATTTATTAATAATATCCTATTGACTTAAATGAACTTATCCATATTAAATATCTCGTTTATTAAATCGTAAATCCATTATAAATTGATTCTTATAAGTGAAATAATTTACAATAATTTGTGACTCACTTCCTGGATGTTTTTTTTTTATTCCAGTAGATATTTATTTTCAAATGTATATATTCATTTTAAAAACAATCACTCTTTTCGTAATAAATCTTGAAAGATAAATAAAATGTAAACTCAATTGTTCTAAGAGTTATTCTTATACTTCACCAAACGTAGCACATGAGATTTAAATATCTTTTTGTCAATAACGTAAGATATATTATCACTGCAGAATAGATATTTTCCTTTTATTTATATACTATCAATATCAAAATAATGTGCTTGTGTTTCTTGACTACAAATAATTCAATTTATTTTGTTTGCAACATTGTCACTACTAGTAATGATAAAAAATAATAATTATAATAATATAAAGGCTTTAAAATTTTCATTAACACTTTTAGAATCAAGTATGTAAAATGAAAAACAAAGCCTGTGTGTTTATGAACATGAGAGATAATATAATTATAAATAAAATAGAAATAAATACGTAAATTTAAGAATAAGTAAATAATAGAAAAAAAATTTTTATGGTGAAATAAAAAGATAGATGAAAATAAGAAATAAAACAATTAAAAATAGATAATAGAAGGTAAATGTTTTTGTAATTTTTACTAAACAATTAATGATTCATGTGATATAAATTTTTGTATTTATTATGACTACAAAATATTTTTTATAAAAATTCCATTTATCAATCTGTAATTGATAATTGATTTTATATCAATGTTACTAATGACAGATAATCATTATTACTTTTAAATATAAGTGATCATTTCAGTATTGACTTTTTGTAAATATTGCTTCAAGTAATTCAATGGATAGTAGAAGATAAACACGTGTGTAAAAATGATTAATTATTAATCAATTTTAAATCGTAATTTATTTTTAATAATTAAAAAATGGATATTAATATTGTATAATGTATATAATTATTTTTCTTGATCTATATTAGAAGTCTATAATATTTTTATTATTCTCTTAAAGTTTTCAATTAAATTACCAGTGATTGCAGAGATCCAATAAATCGATATTGATTAGAAATATACTCAAGTTGAAAGTATGATAATCAGAAAAGTTAATAAACGTTGCAGAGTATTTAACTGCATGTAATTTCACAGCTCCTAGAGTAAAGTGAAAATAACTTCATTCATACTATTTTATAGTCACCAGATCGTCGTCGTGTACTCACTTTAATAATTAATCAGTTCAATTGAAACTAAACTCACTTGATAGCAGGTTTTGTAAAATAGCACTTGTTTTAAGGACATTATTTCAAGTGTTCATAAGAGTGGTTTGAAGTACTTGAAAAAAAAACTTGCTTTTTATTCTCAATAGAAATTGTAATAAAATTTAGAGTTTCGATGCTAAATCCGTTTATTTTTTATTGACTAAAATCGTTTAGGTAAAAGAAAATGAATTTTAATGGAATTCTAGAAATTTTTCGTTTTTATAGCATTTTATTTTATTATTGATGATGGAAGTAAATAGTTATCTGAAAATATTTTTATTATTGAAGATTTCTAAATACTCAAATCAGAATTATGCCTATTAAATGTATTTCTATGTTATTAATTACAATTGTTTATTTATAAAAATAATAGCTGTTGAATTTGTTGACAAATATGAGATTATTTATATCTAAAACCAGATATTATCTTCATTACTCTCTATCACTAAAAACAAAAGAATTATCACTTTAAGTATTAAGTTATATTTTAAGATAAGAACTTTCGAAAGATAATACCAATTTTCATCAATGATCTAAATAGTATAGCTTTATATTCAATGATGTTTTGTTTAAAGAATGAATATAAAATTAATTAACATTCGCAATATAAAGAATTAATTCTCTGATCAATAAAAATAAATCAAAGCTTAAAAAATTAATTAACAATTTTTTTTTCAATAATTAAGTGCAGACTAGTGAATGTAGTCCTGTTATTTTCACTGATTCATTTTTAGAGAAATATTTTTAAAAATAATATGCAGGTGATTGAAAAAAAAATTACACTTATTTATTACATATCAATTTAAATTGATCCTAAATTATTTTCTGCAACGATCAAAAATATAATTCCAAAAGTTCTCTATCACTTTCACGAGCAACAATAATATAGAACCGGTTGAAAATGAGTTATCTAGTTGCTGATATACAAACCATATATATTCATGGTATTTTAATAGATTTTATCGTATCAATAAACTAAATTTTACGAGCAAAGTGTTCAATTCAAATATACTATGATCATTGAGTATTAAAAGTAACAAGATGATAAATAGCTTGAACAAACAGCATCGAATGACTTAGTACAGGAGATATACGAGGTCTAGGCTGGTATTATCCCATTGGGACAGCAAAACGATTTCATCCGGTCTCGACATACCTGGTGTTTGTCGTGGTGCTGCATTCAAAGAAAAATTATTCATTTATTTCGTTAATAAACAGATATTGTGAATATGTCTGATGATAGCGATTGCATTTGTATATCATTTTAGATGACGTTTTATTTAATATTAAATAGGAAATTGGTAAATTGGAATGTTGATAATTTGATCAAGCATGACGTGAAGCGTTTATAATTGTAATAAGGCTATAAAAAATATCTCACAGTCTATACTCTCTGTTTTATACTTTGGTCACGAGATCATTGGTCACGACGACGCCTCATCAATTAACAATTGATCTTTCACTAGTGCTCACACAATAAATGCATAATATTCCAACGAGTTATAAAAATTAAAGCTCATTTATGTGACAAAGGCGTTTTGCTCATATTACTTATTATCACATATTTAATGATGTGAATAAAAAATTTGTCTCTTTGTGATGATTATATTTAGCATTGATTTATTTATTTTTTTATTTTATAACTGATAATTATTAATGAAAAAATTAATGAAGTGTTAATAAGAAATTGTACCAAGTTAAAAAGTTTCATGATGTCAATTTAAACAGATAAATTTCGGTATTTATTTTGAAAGAGAAACTCTGACGTCAAAGAATAACATGTGCCATAATATTTTGAATGAAACAAAGATTTTCTTGAGGTTTCTTAAATCAATGGAAAATAACTAATGACTGTTGATAAATAATCCTTATTTAACTGTTTAATGAAATTAAATTGTTTACCAATAGAATTCATTCATTGGTCATCAAGATCATATTGATTTTGCATGTTGTAAAAAATAAAGAGAATGATTATTTTATTATTACAATTATTGTTAGAGGTAGATTTGTAATTATTTTCATTATTACAACATGATTGAAGGTACTTGAAATAAATTTTTCCTGTTATTTTTTTTTAAAATAAATTACCATGCAAAGTATTGTATTATTTAAACTATCAGTAGAATGTTAATAAATATTTCCTTCTTTAAATGGGTTTTTTAATATTGTAAAGAAACATTGTAACAAGAATTACCAATGCCAGGAAGTCAGAAATGTTTTTTACATGCAAATCATATTTTAATTTGAAATTAAATAATAAAATTTATATTTATTATTCAATACATTGTAAAAGTAGTTGTTATGAATGATTAGTTAATTATGGTTTAACAATCATTTTAATAATGCATTTGATGATTGTTTTAAATCATAGTTTAATTTAAAGTTTTATCAAAAGATAATCAAAATTTCTGAATATCTCTCTATGAAGCTCTAGACTGACTGACTATGTGTAGATATCAGACATGGACCAAGTTGATTCCTCAAAACCACCTGGATAAAATGGAACTAAGTAAAACAAATCATTTCAACCCTACTTAGTTCATGTTTGTTATCAACTATTCCAGAGCTTCTAATCCTGGTTCTTTGTTTTGGGTTCAGTAATTGACATCACTAAACTTTTGGCACATGTACTATCTTTATCATTAATCTATACTTGAACTATGTATATCACTAATACCCTGATAGTTATTTGTATAAATTATTCACCAAAGGTTCAACTTATGTTTATCATAGTGAATATTCATTTTAAAATACAATGATCACCTCCATGCTCATCATTGTGTTATAAGATAGAATGTTCACCATGGTGAACCTTTGATGAATGATTTTTTTCACAAGGAAAACATAAGTTATTTATTTTTAGGCTCATTTCCTAGTTGAAATGTTGTTTTTTTTTTTAATATACTGAAACATTTGTCTCGAAAAGAAATTATTTATCTAATGTGTCTCTAATAATATCAGTGAGAACAGTTAAAGAAAAACATTGAAACAGTTTTAGCGCCAGAGGCGCCCAGAATGAGCTTCAATAAATTAGCTATTTCCAAACACATATTGTACGTCCATAAAAATGAATTATTTGAACAAAGAAACAAGAAGAAGAAATGTTAGCGTCCTCGTGAAAGAATGTGGCAAAATGTAAGTCGAATGAACTTGCGTCGTTAAATACTTATGCCTAGTCGGATTGGTCAATCCAGCACCTGGTGCGGCCTTTGAGTGAACGGCTCAGTAACCTTGAAACCAGTGTCAGGAATGTGCGCCTAACGCGACTTCATACTCAGACTAAAGCACTCCATGTTACGTGGTGGATCCGTCCTTTTTCCTCATTCTCTAAAGAATCTTCAGGATACCTTCGTGAACCAGAATCATACTGAAAGAATGGATACCTTACGATACTATATCACAAACATTGTTTTGTTTCTCTAAAAACTGCATCAATGTTTTTCATTTTATGTTGCTATCCTGTTTCTATATGTTTACCTGGAAGAACAAATATTAATCTTCAACTTTTGCTTTCAACTTTGTATCTAATTAATGAATCAAACTATGAAAAAAATAAGAGTCTACCTGACAGGAAGTGATAAAAATTCATCATTATTGATTTTTATTTAAAAATAACAATTAATAAATAAAAGTAAAATTGACAACTGTGCCAGTCATTTATATTATATTTATTATTATATTTATTATATTCTTCTTTGTTATCTTGCTTTTTAAACAATTTGATCTGTTAATAATTTATTGATTATTTTTATATAAATATCTATCCTCAAAAATAAAATGCTTATTATATTTTAAAAATGGGTATAAAATTGACAAGATAATTATGCAGCAAAAATAATGTGTATGATAAAAAGCCTTTTTTATTTATAAATTAAAATAACTTAAATTTCACAGAATTATTATCAATGCAATCTTTTTTATGACATTGACGTCAATTTTCTAATCATGACATTAATATGTAGGAAAATTGAATAGAGTTTGAACAACTGTTATATATCGAAAAGTTTATCACTATCATTATTCCTTTAATGACAAATGACGTAAAATGCATAAACACTAGATTATTTTATTATAGTAGTTAAAATCGTGCGTCAATATCATTTTCATCATTAAAAATTATTTTTAAAAAATTTCTGCTAAATTTTCAAATATTTTTATTATAAGTTACGTTGAAAGAACATAATCAGATATATTTACAAGTACAATGTGACGAAGTATAATATGCTTTATTTAAAAATAAAACGTACAAAATATTATTTTATGTCTTCGTATCACGTGAACGGGTAATTTTAAGAAATCTTTTGATATTCTTTTCATGAAAACCCTGGTGCTCATGCACTTATAATGTACTTGCTATCATTACAAGCATACCGATGATAATATCGAAAATGGACTTTTTTTGTACGGTTTTATAGGGGAATAATTTGGATTTAATAATATAATTTTAGGGCTATAAAAAGAAATTTAAGGTTAACACGATTTTTTTTTATTTCAGTGTGCCAAAGCATAGACATAAGAAATAGCGTGACTCAATTTTCAAGACTGGAAGGTTGCCGAGTGGTCGAAGGCTTCGTACAAATACTGTTGATCGACCATGCAGATGATGCGGCTTATGCTAATCTCACGTTTCCAGATTTGGTGGAAATTACTGGATACCTTTTACTTTATAGGTAAATTTTTTTTTTTTTATTATTTTTGGGTAGAATATTGGATATTTAAATTCAGAAAGGAAATTACTCTATATTTTTTGTGAAATAGCAAATAATAACATGTATGGATTCAGATCAAATGATTCTTCCAATTTCATTTCAATCTTTAAATAAACATTCCCACATGGAGAGTTGATTACATGAAAAATTACTGGGGTTGGACAGTATTGATGAACTATATTGAAATTATAAGAAAAATGTGTGCTCATTTGGGTTGTTTTTCTGTACTATTCATAATTTTTACTCTACTGTGATAATTTCTATCAAATTATTTATAATTTTTATTGACAATAAATGTAAAAGTCTTGTTCTCTAATCTAGCACTATTTTTATCAATTCAATCAATAAAATAGAATCATTAATGTACTTAAGTTTAAAATCAAAAAAAAAACTTGGAAAAAAATCATAAACATATTATTTTTAGTTACAAGGTTTGATTAAATATTGATATTGTTATTTTCAGAGTGAATGGATTACGAAGTGTTGGTCGACTCTTCCCTAATCTAACTGTCATTCGTGGTCATTCACTGTTCATCAATTATGCTTTGGTAACATTTGAGATGATGCACTTGCAAGAAATTGGCCTACATCATCTAACTGATATTCAACGAGGTTCTGTTCGTTTTGAAAAAAATCCTGCTCTTTGCTATGTTGACACTATTGATTGGGATATAATTGCCAAAGCTGGCAAAGGAGAGCATGTTATATCGGTAAGATTTTTGAACTCATCATATTCATAGACTGTCTGCAAAAAAAAAATTCTGATTAGATGAATAATATTTATTTTTGTAAATATATTAAATATTTTCGTAAACTGTGAAATGATAAGACTCATTTATTCAAATTTTGACCTAGTTATTCAGCTATCAAGTAAAGATACTTTTTATTATAATCATTTGTTTTTTATCTTTATTTCACTTCTACTAGATACTTTATTTATACAAATAATATTCATTCAGAAAAACATGTTTTTAAAAAAGATACACAGTTTTGCAATACTATTTTATGCATTATTTTTAATTTATATATCATTTCTATCAATGAGTAGTAAATAAATTAAATACGGTAATGTTTTTATCATAAAATTAAATTTTTCAATGTAAACTAGATAAATCAATACTATACATGATATTAGTGTAATTAACTCCAAGTTTATCCTTGTCTACGATGTTCTTCTATTAAAAATAATCTAGATACAGAACAATATGGTATTTTGCAATTTGTTTTTCGACCTTCATGCAGTCTGACTGTTGTCTTTTACCACGGTGTACGTTTTTGAAAGAGTACGTCTATCAGACACTATATGCAATACGTCATAGAAAAGTTCTCATGTAAGAACATTAGAAAAGTAGACTGATAATAAATTGGATCGTAGATTGTCCCTAGACAATAATCGAATGCTCAATAAAAAATTGTCCTTGACGTGATAGTTTAAATTGAATCAAAGTCTCATTTTAGACAAGCCATTCGCTTCAGTCAATTGTTCTTGACTAAGAGTGGCGCCAGATTACATCATCAATAATCCTAAAAACATTATCATTGATTGAAATTATTCTTATGAACCAAAAAGTGTACTAACTTAATTCATTTATTTATTAGCAATTGTTTAGAAAAATTTATTTATCATTATTAGATAATAAACAGCTTATTGTTTTGATCACTGTATTGTAAATAAGACTAATTTTTATCTGTAAAAACAGAAGCCATTTTTCATAAGTAAATTGAATTATAGAATTTAATCTTAGTCTCAAAAATAATTTAATATATTTCATTTAAAAATGTATCAGAAATTTTACTAACTACAATGTAATTATCTAGACAAAAAAATAAGACCATTTAATGTCTATGACTTATATGTAAATATACACATATTAATTTGTGGTTAACATCACTGTCTACGTTCAAGCATATATTAGTATTAGTGCACGTGCTATCCGTGTGATTCACGATGAAGAATGGATAAATCAGAGAATAAGCACACACTTTTGGTATATTATCGTCCCAAGATAAAGAGACTTGTGTGCTCTATTTCTCAGAGTTGTCAGCATTCGCCTATTTTACGATGTCACTTAATTTCACATAAAGCCTTCTTGTTTAATGAAGAACAAATTATCTATAATAAGAGTCACATAAAATTTCATATGTCTCCTAAATACGTGCAAGTTATGATTATTCAAATTTTTAGCAAATGTTCTATTTAAATACGTATTCTTAGACCTAATTTATATCGTTTACATTTACTTCTATTCTTAGAATGATGATTAATTATTTATAAGGTATTTCAACTAGGTATAGGTACCAAACTCAAAAGTTGAACTCTGAAATTACTGCGTCATCATCGATTAAACTTTTAATATAACCATAAGGTCAACACTCATACAGAATAAATAAATCAATTTTCAATAAATATTTTGATGTTAATCAAAGAAAGAAATTATTAAATTAATTTGTATTACACTGTCAATGAATTTAAAATCATAATAATTTTTAGTTAACCTTGTTTTTGGCAATCTTTGATAATAATTATGATTATAAAGATTTAAGGTTGATTACTTAATTAATATTTTTTTTATTTATTTAACTTAACTTTTAAAGTATCAAAATAAACTATTCTTTACTTATTCTATTATGTATGAAATCATGCATTTTTTAGTATTAAAAAATTGTAAGATGAACAATTTATTTCCAAATATCAGGAATATCACGATTACGTCAAAATGTTTATTCTTTATTTATTTGATAGCTGTACAAATATTTATTATACTTTTATATAGCACAAAGTTTGTGGAAAGAATTACGTTGATGAAATAGAATTTTTTTTATATCACTAATATATAAATAAATAAAAATACTTATCGGACTTTATTTGATTTTCAGGGTAACAAACCCAAAAATGGATGTCCAGTATGTGAAAAAAACTGTCCAACTCGGTTAACTAAGCCAGATGATACTTTATGTTGGAACAGACAACACTGCCAAAAAAGTAAGTTTTAAAAATCCTTGTTAATTATTTTTTCATTATTTATTGAAATTTTAGTATTTTTAAAAATTGAAAAATATGTTATTAGAATATTAAGAAAAAAAATATATTTCTCAATGATTATATAAATGTATCGAGTAACTTTCCATCAATCAATCAATAATAAGAAATTTATTATCATAATTAAAGATATAAATATGTATGAAAAAAAGACTGTTTGACTCATAAAAACTGTTGAAATTTTTCAGTTTGTAATCGAAAGTGTGGAGATCGTGCATGTAATCCGTCCGGAGAATGCTGTGATCCGTCATGTTTAGGAGGATGTACTGGACCTACAAATAAAAATTGTACGGTATGTCGAGAAGTAGCACTTGACAACCAATGCGTCAAGCGCTGTCCACCGGGCAGATACGAGTTCTTAAATCGTCGTTGTATCGACGAGAATGAGTGCAGGAAAATGAAGAAACCCCGGGAGGCGTATGGCAATGTACGAGAATATCCGTATAAGCCATTCAATAACACTTGCGTGATTGACTGTCCAGCAGGATACATGGATGATGAGAAAAATGGTAAAGCAAGGTGTAAGAAATGCGATGGTCCCTGTTTAAAAGAATGCTCAGGTGCAAGCGTTGACAGCATTGCTTCAGCTCAGAAACTACGAGGATGTACTCATATCAGAGGAAGTCTGGAAATTCAAATACGAGGAGGAAAAAACATGGTGAAGGAGCTAGAAGATAATTTAAATATGATAGAGGAGATTGACGGCTATTTAAAAATAGTTCGAAGTTTCCCTCTAATATCTCTAAACTTTTTGAGAAATTTAAAAGTGATAAATGGAAATGATTTAGAGAATGGCAAGTACACATTGGCTGTACTTGATAATCAGAATCTTCAAGAGCTCTGGGATTGGAATTCCCATCCACCATTGACAATTAAATCTAAAGATGGACCTCCTAAAGTATTCTTTCACTTCAATCCAAAGCTTTGTCTTCAAAAGATCGAGAGATTGCGCGATGTTGCAAAATTGCCTCAATTCACAGACTTGGAAGTTGCACCTAATAGTAATGGTGATAAAGTAGCTTGTAATGTTACTGAATTGAGTGTTCAAGTAACGAAGAAAACAGCTGAAGCAGCTCTTATCCAATGGGAGGCATTCAGACATCATGATCCTCGATCCTTATTGGGTTACGTTGTGTATTTTATTGAAGCAAACAATCAAACTGTCACGATGTATGATGGTCGTGATGCGTGTGGGGGTGATGGATGGAGAGTTGATGATATTGCGGCAGAATCTACTGAGGCCTCACACATTGTATCGGCTTTACTTACTCAACTAAAGCCATATACACAGTATGCATTTTATGTTAAGACCTATACCATAGCAACTGAGAGATCAGGTGCTCAAAGTAAACTTCAATATTTTACAACTATGCCTGGAGTTCCAAGTGCACCAAGAGCGCTTCTCATTTGGAGTAATTCAAGTAGCGAATTGGTCATGTCCTGGCTTCCTCCGCTCAAAAAAAATGGAAATTTAACTCATTATAGAATTATCGGTAGATGGGAACAGGATGATCCCAGTTTCCTCGCACAGCGAAATTATTGTGATGAACGTAAGTATTATAGTACTTATTTTACATTGTATAATAATCTTTTATTAAATATTTTTCTTCTTTTTAATTTCAAAACTCAACTTTATTAAATTTAAAAACTTTTATTATAAATACATTGATATTAATTTTATAAAATTGAAACAAGTTATTTTTATTTTTTTTTTAAATAGTGCAACCTTTTTCTTTTTTATTTCAGCTTTACAAACACCCGAAAAGAAACCAATAGCAGAGATGGCCGAAGATGAACGTAAGCGAGCAGAGGCAGAAAGTCGTGCTAAACTGCCAGAAATAGCATCTTGTGATTGTGCTGATCGGGAATCAGATCAATCTTTACGTGAGAAAGAAGTTTCTAGTTCAATCGCTTTTGAAGATGCACTCCATAATCAAGTCTATGTCAAGAGAAATAACAATAGAAGGAAGCGTGATACGACCAGTCAAATGCTTATCGCTGCTACTCAACAAAGAAAGTCCAATTTTTCTTATGAGGTAATGCTTCTATTCAATGTAACTAATTTTTACTCATATATATATATATATATATATATAATAATAATAATAACTAATAATATAATTTTTTTGATATTTATTTCAGAATGGAAAAGATGGTGGCACAGATAAGAAAATAAATGGTACATATAGTAAATTTGAACGATTGATACCCAGTTCAAATCTCTCTTTTGTCATGCAAAATTTAAGACACTTTGCAGTATACAATATTGAACTTCAAGCATGTCGTGAATCAATCCCAAATGATTCCAATGATAATTGTTCAACTAAAACAATGAGAAGTTATCGAACTTTGCCATTTGAACACGCTGATGATATCCCAGCGGGATCTTTTAAAGTAGAAAAGATTAGTGGTAACAACAGCCATCCAATGATAAAGTTACAATGGGATGAACCACTGCAACCCAATGGATTGATTGTTACTTATCAGATCGAATACAAGAGAATTGGAATTCAAAATGTAAGGACACAAATTTTTAAGTTGAAACTTTGGTTTAAAAGAGTTTTTTTTTTAATCAATGTTCAACAATCAAACTTAATGATACCATAAATCAATTAAATTTTCATCATTAAATTTTCTACTATTTATTGATGATATAATTTTTAAATTAATCTTTAAATAATTTGTTTCAGGTTCAGCCTGTATTAGTTTGTATTCCTCGACGAGATTTTGTAAATGCTGGCTACTCATATACTTTAAAAGACTTGGCATCTGGGAATTACTCAATAAAAGTTCGTGCGACAAGTTTAGCAGGAAATGGTGCTGACTCGGAAGTACAATATTTTTACATTGAAGAATATAGTACAAGAGGAACAGTACTAATTATAATATTTACCATCATGGCTTTAGTATTGTTAGTAATTTTAGCTACATACTACGTTTGTAGACGGAAACTAATGCGAAATGTTCCCAGTATGAGATTGATAGCAACTGTCAATCCAGAATATGTTAGTACGGTTTATGTACCTGATGAATGGGAAGTACCGCGTAAAAAAATCCGACTACTTCGAGAACTTGGAAATGGATCTTTTGGAATGGTTTATGAAGGTGTTGCTAAAGATATCAATAAATTAAAGCCGGAGATCCGATGTGCTGTTAAAACTGTCAATGAAAATGCTACTGATCGTGAACGCATTGAATTTTTAAACGAAGCATCTGTAATGAAGGCTTTTAATACTCATCATGTTGTAAGATTATTAGGAGTTGTATCACGAGGACAACCAACCTTGGTTATAATGGAATTGATGGTAAATGGCGATCTTAAAACATACTTGAGAAGCCATCGACCGGATCAATGTGAAAATATGTCAAGACAGCCTCCAACTCTCAAGAGAATTATAAGAATGGCAGCAGAAATAGCTGATGGTATGGCTTATTTATCCGCAAAAAAATTTGTACATCGAGATTTGGCAGCTCGTAATTGTATGGTAGCGGAAGACCTCACTGTGAAAATTGGTGACTTTGGTATGACCCGAGATATTTATGAAACGGATTATTATAGAAAAGGAACAAAAGGACTTTTACCAGTGAGATGGATGGCGCCTGAAAGTTTAAAGGATGGTGTATTTACTAGTTACTCTGATGTATGGAGCTACGGAATTGTCCTGTGGGAAATGGTAACACTTGCATCACAACCCTACCAAGGATTATCGAATGACCAGGTAGATTATGACGCTTTTAATTTTTTAGTTTTTTATATTAAGGTAGTTGTTTTTATAAAATAATCAATCTAATATTTATTTTGTCAATAGGTTCTACGATACGTTATAGATGGAGGTGTTATGGAGCGTCCAGAAAATTGTCCAGACTCTCTATATTTACTAATGCGAAGAACTTGGAACCAAAAAATAACAAAAAGGCCTACATTTATCGATATTGCTACGATGCTTCTACAAGAAGTACCCTTGGACGGGTTTGAAACTGTTAGTTTTTATCACAGTCCAGAAGGTATTGAAGCTCGTACTCAAAACGCCTCTCATTCTCCTCAAATCGATAAGTAAGATGTTTTTTAAAAAATTTAGTTTTATTTTGTCATTTTTTAGAAAATGCAAAATTTAAAATCATTATTAATTATCGCAGAGATCTTGAAATAGCAACACTAGAAGATTTACGAGAAGATGAAAGAGAGGGTGATGAAGGTTCGCCATTACGTGAAGATTTTGAAGATTTTGCAAATATTGATCCTACTTGTTTTAAGAGTAGTGGTAATTTAAAATATGATTTAGAATTTTATGGTGAACATTCAAAACTTCCGATTAATTTTCACGATTTGAATTTTTCAAAAACACCTCTCAAAGCTGGTTTTGAGGACTTTGATGGTGTATCCGCAGGATCATTATCAAGCAAGGGTACTTTAGATTTTCCATTTGTAGAAGAAAACCTCAAATCATTAAAAAATTCCCCGTCCATAAAGAACAATAGCGTGCCTCATGTAAATACAAGTCCATTATCGGGGAAAAATTCTGTAAGTCCACAGAATAAAACAAATCAAATGTTTTTGAGAAATCGAGGACCTAATAAGTCACACAAAAATAGTCCGGACTATGAAAACCGAAGTCCTGAAATCTTATCTAATATTGAAGCAAATGACGTAGGGTCTACTAGGATAGATTGCCCGTCTTTAGATAACGTAGACGTGATTGTCTCAGTTCAAGATACAGACACACAACTTCAAACTGATTACTTGGAAAAAGGAGAAAGTCTGAATAATGGATATATTAGTGGAACGACTACGTAGTCTAAGAAATTTGTGGTGAATGGTAGAGTTTATTATCGATTAGAGAAGTAAAAAATAAATAAATAATAGGAAGCTTTTTTACATGAACTCCTAGAATTGTAATAATTTTTAGTGGCATGAATGTTTTATAAAATGATAAAAAAAGCTTTTGAATTTTGAAAAAGGAAATCGAAAGCTTTGAAGACTTTATTATGTATATTGCTGTGTTTATCGTTAAACGAAAGGAAAAAAAAACAAAATTAATGTTTTGAAGTAACATTTAAAGTTAGTATGTATTTAATAAGCTACAATTTTTAGCCTTTATACGTAAATGTGTACGGATTAAAAACTTGATTCTTATTGGTGCAGGTTCAATCAAGCTCTTAATTCCGTCTTCTTTCATATACCCAAGGTTGCTACAGTTGTACAATTAATAATTAATTTGTGTTGCTGAACTTTACATTGCGATGTTTGACTACTGAGCCAGTTAGGTGAATGGTTTCAATACGTAAATATAAATATAACTATATTAAGAATATTTTCTTATATAAAAATAACTTAACAAAATTTTTTTATCAAAAATGATGATATAAAAAATTTTCTAATTACTATTAATTATGCATAAAACGAAATTTATTAACTGACTATCAAATCAGTTAACTGATATGATTCTAAATTGAGCTTGTTATTTTATTGATTGAAAAATTATTTTTAAGTGAATAATTATATAAATTTCAAATCATTTGTTTGAAAACTAACTGAAAAAGCATGTCGTTATTTTCAAGTAATATTCTTAATTATAAATTAGAAAAAGAATATCTATCTAAATAAGTATTTTTTACTGAGAAAAAAAAATAGTTTTATAAAAGAAGAATTATTAATTCTCTAATTAAAATTAAAAAATAAACACAAATATTTAATTATTCATCTATTGCTTTATTAACTCGTACTATTATTAGGATTTATTTACTCACGATTTGTAAGTGCTACTATACATAATTAGTGGATATAATGATAAATTAATACTGACTCAGTGGTCATCAAGCAGTAAAAATTAAAATAATAAAACTAATTTCCGTTATAAGAAATTAGAAAAAACGAACATGAATAAAAAAAAAGTAACGCAATACAATTAAAACTAGATATGATAAGCCTCAAAATACAAGACTGATTAGCTATTCTCTCATAATCTTGCAATTTGTTAATGAGTTAACACAATATGGTAGAAGTTCCACGAATTTTCTTTTCTTATCCGTAATGCCATTTTTCGTTTATTTTGCAAACATACCCGCTTAAATGTATTAAGTATTATTATTACTATTATTATGAATAATAATTATAGTAATAATAACAATGATGATAATAATAATTAAATATAATGATTAAAATAAGAATATTATTAGTAATAATAATAATTTTTATGAATGAAATGAATACAATAATGATGAATTAATAATTAATATTAATAACAATAATTATTAACACATCAGTAACCCATTAAAAAGTACCCACTTTATTTTTATCGCCCATATACGCGATTAATCGAGGTTTTAAATAAAAAATTTTGTACAGTTGTAATCCACATTATAAAATGTAACAAGCCACTGAAAAAAAAATATAAATTGTACTGTAGTTAAATTGAACTTCTAGAAAACTCTTTGGAAAAAAAATATGGCAAAAGAACTAATTACATATTATTGCCAATTCTTGAATAGTAGCTTCACTTTTTATCAATAATCTCATGTCAGTTGTAGAAATTTCCGATTTTTTCTTAACCATTCGGATATTTTACTAATTATTTTTATTTAAATTTTCGGCGTTTATGAAACAAAAGAAACACAAAACTCTAGAAATTAAAAATCATAATGGATAATGCAGTAAACATTTTTGATGTACCGTTCACGTCAGTGCCAATGTCATCCAAGCGATTATTTTTGAAAAATATTTTTACAAACTATTAAATTAACATAATTTTGATCATAAAATATGATTACCAGAATGGTTAATATATCTATTATACAATTTTATTGAAACAGTCACACGTACTTATAGTCAAAATATTATTGCTTTCTTTAATGCAACGAGAGAAAGAGTGATTTAAGCAAAAATGGGGAACACAATTCTCATTTAATGAATCAAAAATACAATAAAGATTTTAATATTATTTATGCATAAAATAATTTATAAATATATGTAATTTACAACGATTTTTTAATTGATTGCTAAATTTTATTTATTTATTGATAACGTACTAATCAAACAGTAATTTATAATCTAAATATTATTTTTATCAATAAAATATATTTCAAATACTAAATGATATTAATTGTGTATTTTATTTGTTTAAATCTTAACTTCAGATACAATGTACTTTACATAATAAGTTTAAATTGATAAATCGTGAAAAAAATCATTTTTTCTCTCATGTATTTACCAAATAGAGTTATACCCCTATTCTCGTTTTGATTAATTTTTCACGCTTGTGCCTCTAACTTTAAAGGCACAAAACATAGTCACTACATAACAGCATTTTACATCACAAATAAATTATATAAAACAACACATAGGTATCATGTAACAGAAAGAAATAAATGCAATGCGGATATTCGACGTCAATTGCATACCCAATGTATTACAAACAAATAAAATAACAAGAAGCCTTCTTGTATTCTCAAGTATTTATGATTAAAAGTAAAAATTAATCACAATTATACTTTTAAAAATTTAGGTTTTAATCTATATATAGATGTATACAATTAAATGAAAAACATGCGTGCGTATACATTGAACAATACCATGTATGTATATATAAAGTGTATACGAACGTGAGAAAAATGAATCAGTGATGATGAAGTTTACGTTTATGCAAATAGTTTATAATAAAAAGAACTTAACATGCCAATAAGCCTATCAATCCACAAATTAGTACTATAATTAAATGAATAAATAATTAATTTAAAATAAATAAGTTTTAATAAAGTATTTGAAAGCTAGCATTGCTGACAGCGAGGTATACTCCAATAAGTTTAAGTGACTGAAGCTACGTGTTCACTTTAGCATTCAAAAAGTTTATTACTTTTTAATATGATAAATATTACAGAACTGTTTTAGGTTTTTCTATGAACGATTCAACTAAAACAATATGATATTTTAATCGATCATGATCGTAAGAAAGTTCTCGTTTTAGAAATATTTTAATATAATTTATTTTTCAAGCAATCAATGGGCAGATTATGTATTTATAATGAGCAGAAGAAAAATATTGATGAATTTTTAAATTAAGAAAAGTAAATAAAAAACTAACTGCAAGATATGTAACGAAGATAATTATTTAAAAGAAAAAAAAAGATCTCTAATAGATAGGTTGTCTTTACACGAGATTTGCTCAATAATCAGTATCACACCGCGGTGCCTGGCAGATTAAATTTTCTTCCATAAAATGCATTATTTTTTATTCAACGATAAAATACAAGACTTGAAAATTTCATCAATTTATATCATAATTATCACATGTATGTTTTGCGCAATTGATATTTATTGTTTTTATTTTTCTTACAACGAAAGTTCTTCTATCTTTTCATCCAAGTTTTTGGAAATTAATATCCAAGTTTATTTCCTATTATGGATATATTTTTGAATAATATTTTTATGAATTAACCATTTAAATAATAGTATTTTAGTTTTTATGTTTTAAATATATTTTAATACGTTGAATGATTTCAATTATGACAACTGCCTTTATTTGGCAATGATATAAATATTTATAACCAGAGAGATCACTATTAAAATATTCTAAGAAGTACAATTTATAGTTGATGAATAATTGACAAATAAGTTCATTTTTATCCAGTAATCATTAATCAATACAAAAGAAAGGATATTTGAATTATTTTTTACTACATGTAGCTCGGTCATCTCACCTTAATGAAAATGCAAAATGCATTTTAAAAAATTTATTAAACAATGACTAAGACTATCAATCATAGTGAAACGAAATATCAGGGCCTCGACTGTCGGTAGATTATATTATGACGCCATAAACGTAGCTTAATTTGCTCGTGTGATGCGCCAACTTCATTATCACAATATAAAGTTTTATTTAAAAAATAAACACAAAAACTATTTAAGAAAATCATTAAAGAATCTTTGAGATCTCGATTTATAATAATAGAGAGCTCAATACAAAATTTTCAAGACCCATAATTCATTGAAATAAGCAAAATAAATGGAATGAGTGTTCACCATTATAGAGTTGTACGACAATTAAGAAAAAAAACTCTAGGAATAAATACCAGTACCAGATAGCTGGATTTATGATGATTGTAATATATTACCTTAAGGTCATCCCTTGGTCAATGTACGGCGCCATTATTGGGAATAATAATAATAATTAAATATTCACGTTCATAGACGTATTTGTATACGTCTATATCGTGATTATATTGAATAATATCCAATAATTTGACTGTATAACAATTATGATCATACGTTATGCTATATGCAAAGAGGAAAACAAATTTTATTTACCAAATACAACTTTTTTAATAAAAGCTTTTTGTGAATGAATTTTGTTATTGCTTTATTTGATCCTTATTTCAATGTAACAATAAAGATAATTGTTATGTCGAACAAACAAGGGGTTTTTTCACCGAAGTAAAAAAAAGAGAAAGAATATGCGTCATATATGTAAGTTATACTTACTATTGACTGTTAATTGTCATATGAATTTAAAGAGACATTAATTTAGAGGCTCAAAATTATGAATAAAAGAGAAGGATAGATGTTGAATTAAAGGAAACAAATTGATAAGTTAGATATCACTTTTATTCAAATTTAAAACACTGTTTGATAACACAGCTTTATGATTATGATTTACAAAACATGTTAGATCCAATTAGATCGGGAATTAAATTTAAAATCATAGATCAGATCCAATTTTTTTTAAGAAATTCACTGAAATCAAAAAGTTTTGAAGACTGTATGACCAAGATCTTAATGTTTTTTATCTATTGACATAGAATAACAGTTAATTTCTATAAAACCAGATGTAATGACGTTCAAAAAGCTTGAACCATATACAGCTATATAAGTTTCTAATTATGAATTAGATAAGTGATAAGTGATGAAGTTAATAAGTTTTTAACAGTAGATACAATTGCTTGACTTCACGAAAAAGTCAAAAACTTTTTTTTTTTCATTACCATTTTTTATTATATTATATTATATCTTATATATGATTTATTTCCTCCCCTGTTCATTACTATTAAAAGATAATTATAATTTTCAATACACTCTGGAAATGTAATACACATAATCCAGTTTATTCTCGATCATATCATGGTAGAAAAGATTTGAAGTATTGGTTTCCTAAGGTGAAAATGAAAAGGGTTATTAAGAATGTAGAAATACATTGTACATATACTCATCAGAGAATTAATATTATAGCTAAGTGAGTAATTGGTCAAATATTAATTGAAAAAGCATTTTCAAAATATCAACTAACAAAATTAGTCTATAGACATAGTAATGATCAACGTACAGAATGGAATTAAAGCTTAAACTAAGAAGGATATTACTTTGAAATTCATAACAGATTTTATGAATAGGAAAAGTGTAATAACATATAAATAATAAGAAATGATAAATAGCAATCATATCGTACGAAGCAATTACTATTGGTATTCATTCAGCTGATGATTTTCCAAATCTGTTTTTTTACTTTAATTTTAAAAGCTCAAGCAAGAATATAAAATTTTTATTGTCAAAAAAAAAATTTCAGCAAAATTTAGATACTAGATTGTTTCGTTTTCTCTCTTTCTTTTCAGAAAATGAACCAAAATTTGCTTATCTATTAAGAAAACTTATTTTGAAATAAATGATGACTTATAAATCCTGGTTATTTCTTCTATTATATTTTATATACTGTTATATATATACTACCCCTGTCATCACGATACTAATAAAATAAATCATATATAGGCAATGTACTCCAATACTCTCATGGTGCTTATACATGTTTACCTCAAGATATTAATTTACCATGTGTTTTTTGCTATGAAATGAAATAAAACAAATTCAATAGTATGGATGGCTTATTCAGAATATATTGATAATGCTGATGGTTATTCAATAGCAACTTACAAGGAAAGTGATTTGACGTATAAAAAATAATCCAATATTCAAACCATATATTCAGTTTATGGAATTTTTCAGAAAACTTCTAATTAACAATAAAAAAACATAAACTCTTGAGAGAAATCAATTCGTATATGAATTGAACATTCGGAGTGAATTATGCTATTATTCTAAGAGCTTATTAAAATTAGTATTAAACGAACGAACAAACAAGTACTACACTCCTTAATAATGTAAACTTTACTTACTAAAAATATCTCTTTTTATTTTAATTATGAAGGTAAGAGGACCCACATCTAGAGAATTCGACTACTCTACTTTCACTAGGTGCCTAAGAGTCATCTTACGAACCAAAGACAACCTAAGTAATAAGTTTGTCTTTATCACAGCACTGCTTATGTTAAACAAATCATTACTTAGCTTTACTACATACTTAAAGAAATGAAAGACAAATAAGTCACTTAAAAATAGTCCTTACTCTTATCTGTTAATAATTGTACAAATTTAAAGCAATCAAACCACAAAGTTTATTTTCACAATATTATTCACTCTCCATCAAGCCTTATTAAACTAATTTATTTTCTATAAATATCTTCACAATGTTCGCATATCCGAACCGTGCTACAAAATGAAACGGTGATTCATCTGAAATATAAGAAAATGGACTATTTAAAAAATGAAAAGAAATAATTTAATAATGCTTTCTCATTACATCAACTCAACAGTACCCTTTAATCAAAAATGTCTTTATAAGAGTGCAAAACTTACCTTTAAAATTTCGGGCATAAAGACTTTCAGGCAAATTAGGTATAGTTAGTTGTTTCGACTGCATTTTTGTCTTCTCTTCATCGCTGATCGCTTTTGTAAGTGGAACAATCGCTTTATCATTGTTAAATCCACATGCATAATGTAGTGGAATACAACCTTGACTATCTCTAGCGTATGGATTTGCACCAGCGACGATAAGCTGTCTGACAATGTCAGATTGGCCTTTTTTTGCAGCCAAATGTAATACTGTCACCCCATAATTATTTTGTGTGTTTAGCAGAGATGCTGGCCAGGTTGCATCAACTAATGCCTCAACCAATTTATCATATATAGGTGTATGAAGCATGAATTTATGTAGTTGCCTGAAACAAATAGTCAACTATTAGCTACTAGTTTTTCAATATAGACTTTTCAGTTTAAATAATAATCATTTACAAATAATTTTTACTTACGTATTTCCGTCATAGTCCTGAACGTAGTATGATGAAAACCAACAATTCACAGGTGATTGATCTTTGACATCATATTCAGATTCTTTTACTTTTTGATCCATGTTACAGTTTGAATTTAAATGAAAAAGAACTAGTATAACTTTTTTGTCAGGGTGTGATTTCACTAAAGGATGATTCTAGACTGGACATTTCGTACATTACTTGTAATTATAAATGCAACGATTTCGTGAATGTTTTCCTGTTTCGACTGTAACAAACTACAAATTTCATATATGCAACGTATAATGAAATTAATATTTTTCAATGTGTATCGACTATTAAATTCTAATGTACACGATGATGACTGTTAAAGAATTTGAATTTTAATTACTTTGGCAATTACCTTATAGAAAAAAGCTAGAGAAAATTGGATTTTAAGGATCCCTAGAGATAAATAATCATATTGAAATTTTCTGAGCTTAAAGACAACTATGCAGCTTCTTATATCTTTTTTCATCGAAGCCATATTCAAAGAGACGAAAAACAAACACGTCACTTTAGATTTACTATAAACAAAAAATATGACGTAATTCGGTTTCTAATATGTTAATTTTAGATTATTTTTCACTGACCTGTAAGGAAAATAATACTATGGTATTTACTAGTTTCCTTATCCGGAACGTTGAATATACCGCTTCATAATTTTCCTTTTTATAAAGGATAACTTAATTAAAGCGTAAAACAATATATTACCTAAAACATTTTTTAACACAAACTTAATCAAATTAATTCATCCATGTCGTTACATTTTAATTACCTATAAATTTAACTTTCATGCTTTCTCCCTAAACCTAACAAAACAAGAATGCATCCTTATAAACATAACTAAAAGTATAATTATTTATACAATACTACTCACTCCCTATCAAGCTTTATCAAACTAATTTATTTTCTATAAATATCTTCACAATGTTCGCATATCCGAACCGTGCTACAAAATGAAATGGTGTTTCACCTGGAATATAAGAAAATGGACTATTTAAAAAATGAAAAGAAATAATTTAATAATGCTTTCATATTATATCAACTCAACAGTACCCTTTAATCAAAAATGTATTTATAAGAGTGCAAAACTTACCTTTAAAATTTCGGGTATAAAGACTTTTCTTCAAATTAGGTATAGTTAGTTGTTTCGACTGCATTTTTGTCTTCTCTTCATCGCTGATCGCTCTTGTAAGTGGAATAATCGCATCATCGTTGCCAAATCCACATGCATAATGTAGTGGAATACAACCTTGACTATCTCTTGCGTATGGATTTGCACCAGCGACGATAAGCTTTCTAATAATGTCTGATTGGTTTCCTATTGCAGCCAAATGCAATGCTGACATCCCATAATTATTTTGTGTGTTTAGCAGAGATGCTGGCCAGGTTGAATCTATCAATTTCTTAATATCATTGTCATATGTAGGTGAGCATATAATGAAATCATGTAGTTGCCTGAAATAAATAGTTAAATATTAGCTACTAATGTTAAAATATTTATGGCCAACGAAATTACTCATACAACAGTTAAACAATAATCTTTCTTTCCCATCAATGTTTCAATGTAGATTTTTTTTGTAGTAATTAAGTAATGGTTATTTACAAATAATGTTTACTCACGTATTTCCGTCATAGTCCTGGACATAGTACTTTAAATACCAAAAAGAATTTCTCAATGTTTCAGCAGTGGTACAATGTTTCAATTTTTTTATTCTTGAATTCATTTTACACTTTTTTTTAAATAATAAAGAACAAGAATAACTTTTATTATTCAGGATGCGATTGTACTGAAGGGCTACTTCTGACTAACTATGTCGACGGTTGCTCACAATTATAAGTATCTTGAATGTTTTCCTGTTTGTACTACAATAGGCTACAAGTATTACATTTTTATCGTATGGCTCAATTAATAATATATAGTTGCTGTATTTAGAGATTATCGTAAGGAATGAAGCCCAAGAAAGTTGGACTTTAAAGATCCTTCAAATAAAAAAGTTTGCCTGGTTTCGCTATAATATAGGTTCTAAATGTGTAAAAAACATTACTTTCCAGGTCCTAATTAGATATTCGAAATATGTTAAAATAACACACTGATAATATGTTTAAAATTTAATTACCAAATACAAATTACATCTTTTAAGTATTTGTCAAGTTGACTAAATCTACTAAGAATACTGGTTTAAGTTTTTAAAAGTTAAAAAAGAGTAGCCTCCCATTTACTGCAACTACTTCAGTGATGAATCCCACGTCAGAGGAGCTTAACCGTTCTATTTTCACTAGGTATACATGAGTCATCTTGCTCACCACAAACTCTATAAAAGAATAAGTTTATGTCTATAATATTGTTACATTTGTTGGATAAATAGGCATTTAAAATTGCTACTTACTCTATCAATTCTATTGAACCGTCTTCCCTTTCATCTTCTTTTATAACAACAGTTTGTTCTAAGCTCCCTCCATTTCTTTGCCTTGGGAAAATACACAACACTTGTTAGATAGTTATTGGCTACTAAAGTACAAAGTATCATGAATAGGCTACATTCCTTTCACAGTCTGTCATGAAACTCAGATATTTATTTTTGTGATGTTAGACTTTCTTTAGATTGAACCTAAAACAATTGGAGTAGCAATAAACAGAGAGAAAGAGAGAGAGAGAGAGAGAGTAATCCTGTATTTAAATAAAAAATTATAATAACTTACCTCCGCCAATCTGTAATTGTGTTGTACAGGACTAGCAAAGAAATTACACAGACCAGTATGGACACGACTATTTTTTCATTTTGTCCCGAGGATGCAAGGATTTTATAAATGTCTATCAATCTGTACCACTTTCCATAGTAGTCAAAAATATCATGAGCAACTTTCACGACCTTTGTTAGGAAGTCCATTGTGAACAAAGCTGGACTCTAAACTAACTAAGAGGGACATGCAAATTGCTAAGAAGCAAATTAGAGCCGGATGTTTATAATACTATTATTTAGATCAGCTTTCATTGCGTCAAGATCACATAAAGTTTAGATAAGCCATAAGATACTTCTATGAACTTGACTAGCTGTAATTGTTTTGGTATATCTAAGATGTTTCTTGACCTTCAGTAGTCCATTTCTTTTTCACTTATACTTTTGCTATTTAGTTCATAAATCCTTGCCCAACTGTTTCTCACCATTCTGAGTTATAAGATTTTTTTTAAAAATTAGTGTCAGTGAAAGTCAAACAGCTGATGTATTTGAGGGTAAATTGATACCTTTCTTTAAAGATGTTCATGAACCCTGGTATAAAAGCTCATGTCAATCATTGTAGATTCCTAACTCTATAATCAGCCATCAACACCTTTATTATTTACACAACATGAGATTATGGGTAGACAGTGACTGTGGGTGTCATCATCCTTCTAAGAAAAGCAATATAATTACGTTACTACATGTGTATAGCTGATATGAATACGAGAATCATAGATAACTACAACCATAGTTCGAAGTGTTCGATTCAAGGTTAATTGAAGATATGAATCCAGTACAGACTGTTGCTTTATTATTAACGTTCCTGACCTATATCATAAAAGAAGTTCAAGATCAAAAGAAGTGCATTATCTCTGAATATAAATTAGCACAATAATACTTAACCTTGAGTCAGCCAGACATAATTGCATCATCTTGTACTGAACATCGATTTTAGGTTTCTGAACTGTCTATTGTTATGCAGATGAACGGTTCCAGACTGGTATCGGGATTAATATGATAATTGAAACTCACGAGACTCCAAGGAAAACGCAGATAATGGTACCAAGTAAGCATATATGTAGATCCATGGTCTAGCATCGTGTTAAAGGGTTCTAAAAATTAGAAAGAGTCAAACAAAAATTATTTTTAAATGCAAATTAACTTTATATTTAAAATATGATCAGATTCTATATAAAGGCAATAATAATTCACTCTTAAAATAATTACAATATAAGATAACAGCCATGTGATGAACTTAAGGGTACATACGCTTTCCCTTTCACTATATATTATTTTTACTATGAGAGTATGAGAAGCTTATTTCGTCATGTTAAACTTGTTGAACCTTCCACATATGCACGGCAAAAATATCTACAAAGGACAACAGAGTTACCTCAAAACACGTATTTTCCACTGCTGCTTTTTATTACGTGCTTTGAGTACCGATTGTTCATTCCTCAATATAAAATGTACCATAAAGGAATAAAATAGAATAATATAACTATGTACACTTAACTAAGTTATTCACAATAATATAACAAGTATGTTGTAACAATGCCAGGAAAATAGTTTTAGATAAGCTAATTACTTTGTTATGCATAAAACTTTCCTGTTTTGATGATGTACATAAAAAATAATAACTAATTAGTACAAATATAAGCTTATCCAAAATGTCTCAAATAGTCCAAAGCTAACTAAAATGGTATAAAGAATCATTATCACAAATAAGTATTACTCTTCCTGATAAAATTGAATCATGTCCGACCATAATTTACTTTTAATTGTGATAACAATAAATTAAGATCGAAAACAAAGTTCGGTTTTTCATTAAAATTATTATCTTAATTTTAGTAATAATATCCAAGCAGTGTTGAAGATTTAAAATCAAGCTTCTACAATCTTTGAACTAGATGAGACTTAATAGCAATTTATACAACTAACATACAGTACTATCATACGTAAAACACACTTACGATTATAATTGTATTTAAAACTAATCAACACATTTTTAGAGATCCTGGAAAACTATGTGACATCATCTGGGAATTTCAAACCGTGGAATTCATCACAATCTGAGTAAGTATTTTATTGAACAGATAATTTAACATTTTTTTAAATTTAGGTGTTTATTGTAACTACTCTCTATAACTTCATAAAATAAAAAACAAGTAAAAATAAAACTATGGCTAGAGTTCCGATTAGGGGACATATCCACAAATACATAAATTATGCAGGTCTATGCTAAAATAGTCATGTTAGACGAATACTGATACGATTAGAGATGAGAATATAGAGTAGCCAGCACGGAACTAGAAGGTTTGGGTTCGAGTCCTGGTCTCGACACAATATGTTTTTCACTAAGAATCGACCTGGGCTAATTATGGAGTCGTTTATATGTTTTAAAAAATTGAAAAAGTGGTGATAACCCCTAATTGGGACTTCATATTAAATTATAAACATATAAAAATAATCAGACCTTGTTTCTCTCCAAGAACAATATGATATAGTTCTGATATTTTTATGTTTATTACTAAAAATAGAACACACAAAATTATACTCTTAACGCTAGAACAAAAAACTTAATAATGAATTGCGTATTGCAAATCTAGATTTTTAAAAGTGTCATAACTGAATAGGCAGAGTCATAATAACACAGTTTAAATACATTATAATATCGATAACACACTTTTGAAATTCGAGATTAGCAGTGTAAAGAGACCTTGAAACATTGTGTTACTAACATGCATGGAACGATAATGCATTTTGATAAACTATACAATAAGAGGTCATGAAATAACATGATATATTATTACTCACTGTCAGATGAAGACTGTGGATACATTCTATCTATTGGCAACTTTAAAATTGTGATGAACGCCTTATCAAGCTCCATCTGTTCTAAAGGTTTCATTAACTCTGGATAACAGTACTCAAACCGCGTATTTCCATCTGGGTTTGCTTGATAATAGTTTAAGATAAATTTTGTTATGTCTTTATAACCTCTGCGAATAGCAACGTAAAGTGGTCGATGCCCATCTCTGTAGTTGATTGTATTAATTTTTGCGCCTAAATTGACCAGTTGCTTCACAATATTTAGAAGTCCGTTCTCTGTTGCTACGAACAAAGGCGTTTCACCTGGAATATAAAAAAAAATAAACTAAGTCATGTTTTCTCATCATTAGATATATTGCATATTATTTTTTAACTAGTAAAATGTCTTTACAAAAATAAAATACTCACCGTTATGATTCCGCTCATGAATACTTTTAGATAAATCAGGTATTATCAATTTCTTGCAATTCATCTTCGTTATCTCCAGGGGTTTAAAATCATTCGTAAGTGCGTTGATCATGTCAATATTATTTTTCTTACATGCACAGTGCAATGGAGTACGACCCCAGTTATCTTTACTCATCGGATTGGCACCGTTAATGAGAAGGTATCTGACCATGTCAGGTTGATTATTTATCACAGCCAAATGCAGAGCCGTCATTCCATCATTGTTTCCTATGTTTAAGAGAGATACTGGCCAGGTTTCATCGATCAGTCGCTGAGCACAATCAGTATATGTAGGTAAATGAGCCATCAATACATGTAGTTGTCTAAAACAAACAATAAACTTTTAGTTACTTGTATTAACACTAAAATGAATTAAAAAATCACCATTTTATAATTATTTAATTTTCTTCCTACTCTTCTTTTCATAAATTATTGAAAATAAAAAAAGTCCGTAAACATGTGGAAAAAAAATATTTACAAATAACATCTACTTACGTGTCACCATCAGCGTCTTGATTATAAAATTGTAAATACCAAAAAGAACGTTCGTATAACTTAGGTTGTTCTGTTTGAGTCCCATTAGTGGCAACAGCTTTGCTAGCACCCTCCAATTTCACTCCCTTTGAACTCATTTTAAAGAATTTAATTTTTTCTGGATAGTTCCGAATCACTCGGGGAACGAATTGCGACTGGGCAATCTTGGGAACTGCTCTACAATCAACACAACTGAATATAAATTATTCCATATCTGGGATTTTATTTTACCGATATAACTGTCAACAGTTCATAGTTTGAAGATAACCTCTCACAAATATATGCAGGATTGGGTTCATTAGGAGATTTTTCATTCCAATTGGGTTTTCCTAACATTGTGTTTTCCTTACTACTGATATGATAATGTATAGTTATTTTACATACAGCCATAATTGTGTTTTGCTCTTTATGCACTATTATTTTTGTTATTGTAACAAATTATGATATATGGATTAAGCATAATGCTAGGCCGAAAATAAACATACATCAGTCTTCTGTTTCAGGACCTGGGAAGGCTATAGGCTTCCCGAAGCCGTGATGTGTTTTTTATAAAACGGTGTGGCCGAAAATTGGAGTATCAATATCTCGAAAACTAAACGAGATATTAAAAAATTTTATTCTTCATTTTTTACTAAGGGGTCCCAACACATGAATGACGTGATACACATGTATATATACAACATACGAATTGTACTTGTGCCGAATTCAAGTAAACGTACGTATCAATCTCGCATATGATTAATAGAAAACTCTGTAGATGCATGTTAGATACGACATTAATATAAACGCAACGTTTAATGCGTACTAGTGTGAAAGGCCCTAATTTATATATTTTATACATTTGTTCGTTTTATTAAAGAGCATATCAAAGTCATACGAGATTACAAAGTAACCTAAAATAATATTATGTTTTCGATAAAAAAAAACGTACGAGTTTTTTAAATAAAACAATCCTATTACAAATGGACATAAAATTACCAAAAATAGCTTCAGACGTCCTTGAAATAAATCATGAAAGATGGCTTTGAAAAAACCATGCTTTAAGGCGCCTCGAGCGGAAAAATATAGGTATATAAAAGTATATGGACCTTTGCACACTAGTTTTAGGCAATTAAATAGATAAAATAATGAAATACCTACAGAAAAAGATTCGCGCAACAACAATCTAAAATATGTTTTATTAACAGTGTGACCATGCATGATCATCAGGACTGGCTATCGGGGCACTTCAGTGTTTATTGGTTATTGATAGAGATGTTACCGGACAAAAATGTAACTCGACAGAGATTGAGCGAACCCTAAAGGAGTAATGATGACTCAACCGGATACAACTCTATCGTAACAATTGTATTGATACAACTCTATCAGAGACAACAATGTTATTTACAAATAGTGACGATTGTTTAGTGAATTTAATTCTTTTCTCGGTGATGAAAGTGATGTATTCAGTGGATTAATTTTTTGTATTTTTTCTTACGGAATGGCTCAATTTTTCATTTAAGGTAAGTTGAACTTTCTACTCAGACATAGTATAGAAATTGTTGTGTATATATATAGAGAGAGAGAGAGAGAAAACAATGAGACCATTTCAGGGGTCATAACAAAAGAAGAATAAATGAGTGCACATGATTGAAGAGTGTATATTATTTTAATTATCATATTTTCTAAACTGTATCCCATATCTTATGTCTCGCTTATTATAATAATCAATCATTTATTCTATCGCACACTTTTTCTACATAATACAATGAATTTGCTTGGTATTCATTTTTTATTTTAAAATTTGATCCATTTTTATGAATATGGCATAAAAGAAGTATGTTCAATTGATAGTAAATCGACCTCTGACAATATTTAATCTTATCATACTTCAAAATAAATAAAACTAAAAATGCCTAAAATTCGAGATAAGGTGTAACATAGTAAAAAAAGTATATGTTCAATTGATAGTAAATCGACCTCTGACAATATTTAATCTTATCATACTTAATTATGAACAAAACTAAAAATGCTTCAAATTTGAAGTAAGATTTTATTAATATGACAAAATGCTAATTAATGTTAATTAATTATGATCACGGTCACAAGTATAAAACTTTTTCATTTTTTCAGATGCAAAATTCAAAAAAGAGTCATTCATAATTCATTTTTTAATTGGACTATGGTTCTATAACTATAAAACGGCAACCATTGGAAAGTATGAATCTTTTTTAAATTATACCTTGAATTATGGCATAGTTGACCGTAAGAATTAAAAATCTAATAACTGATTTACGATATTCAACCGAAAACTGTAGCCGCTGAATTTAGAAATGCATGTCTTTAAAATAAACTCGTATTTTTGTACAAGTTGGATTAGATGAAGGATGCAAACTCTTAGTAAGACTTCAACCAGTACTGTTGTAGGCATCTAACTCTAGCATAATATCGATAATAATAAATTTAATGGCGTGTGGATGGCTTCTTCAGAATATATTGACAATATTAACGGTAACTTACAAGGAAAATGATTTGACGTCCAACTTCTAACCGAAAATGAAAAAACATCTACTCTAATGATATCTAAGAAATCAAGAAGATATGATATTGATCATTCGGAATGGATAATGCTATTATGGTAAGAACTTATTTGGATTAGTATCAAACAAAAGAACAAATAGTTGCTTAACTTTGTGACTTAACTATTAATGCATAGTTAAAAGTTAGTATATCAAAAGACCTACTACTTAAATTTTAAAAAATTGAAAAAGAGTAGCTTTTCATTTATTACAACGGCTTCAGTGATGAACCCCATTTCAGAAGAGCTTGAAGCTATTTCTGTTTTTGAATAAAAAATTTACTGATTTACCTTCGCCAATCTGTAGTTGTGTTGTAAAGGACTAGCAAAGAAATTACACAGACCAGCACGACCACGACTATTGTTTCATTTTGTCCCGAGGATGCAAGGATTTTATAAATAAGTAACTTATTCATACAAGTAAATAATTACACATAATTGAAAAATATGTAATACTTTAATTACTATATGTTATAAACTTATTCTATTTCGCCTTATGAACTATCGATATCAATTATACTACGGATGTAGGTTAATGATATTATTCTATTCGATATACTTAAATATACCCGTTTCAGAACTAGTAAAATTCACTGTAAACTTACATTAACAATTAAGAAAGACACATAATACTAGTAAGACATGGTTACTCTTTATTTCTATGAATTAAAAACGAACTAACAACTACTACAGAAGCTTTAAAAATACTTTGAAGGCTGCAATTATTTGTTTGGATCCTGAATGTGCTAAGACTAGCAAGTAGGATTTTTAGCTCTGCATGGAAAAATGTGAGTGTCATACAAAATTTAAGTGACAACGATTAGAGCTGGGTAAGCTTAAAAACAAGCCCTGTCTAGTGCTGCTGTATCTAGTATGACAGGATATATAATGCTTTGCAGAATTTGAAGTGAAATTTTATGGCGAACAAAATACTTATCTAATGTAAATTAATCATAATCAAGGTGTTAAATATAAGAGCTTTTTGGATTTTTTTGATGAATAAAGAATAAAAATCTTATGATGAGCTTACACTATCAGATAAAAAGTAGGTGAGATCATTGTTGGAGATCTAGAACACAGCTAAAAAAACATACAAAGGATTTCAACAAGGATCTGCAGTTTCTTTCACTTATTCTTATGAAAATCATAAATACATGCTTTGCTTCTAATAGTACAAAGTTGCCCAACGTTGGTCTAGAGACCGAGGATTTGCCAGTACTTGGAACAATTACGTACGTCATTCTGAAATACAATGGTTGATTAATTCATTCATTAATTCATATTTTGTTGTAGCAAAAAGATGTAAAATGGAAAAATTGTGTATTTTTGAAAATTTTTTTTAATACAGTTTTCGTTTTTTTTTCTAAATTTTTCAGAATCACAATTCTTGAAATATAAAAAATGATATCACTATAACTTAAACATATCAATATAAAAATCACCATTCTAGTATTTGGTTACATGCACTCATGTATTCAAATCAGTCCTAGAATACAAAACAATAATTTTCGATAGATCTTTCAGATAAATTGATGATATAAAAAATGACGAAAAAAATACAGAGTATAAAATAATGTAAACCTTAAAACAAGACGCTTAGGAACCAATATTGTTATGTTAAAAAACTTTATACATATTTAGGTCATCATCAAAATCCATTTGATTTCTATGAAATTAGTCAGAAATTGCGTAAGAAACACTACTACTACTCCTAGTATTATTAGTATCGATTATGAAGTAGCTAAATAATTGTAGTTATTATAAAATCAGTATAAGTATTTTTTCATGGCATCGTATCACTTGTAAAGTATCACACCCACACTCACTCGCATTAATATGTATATATCGAGCTTTTCTTTTCGTTAATTATTCGTAATCGACATATGGTAAAGTTCTCAAAAGAATATATCTTTCAGTTATAATTATTTTGCTCAATGTTTGTTACTATAAAAAAAAATTAAATATATAAGCTTATCGCTTACGATAAATTGACAGGAAAAGCTTGAGATATATATGTGTATATATTTATATAAAATTAACTACGTCAGTCTGAAAAGTTTAATTCATTGATTAAAGCGGTATTGTACGTATCATAAATTACTACATCAAGATTACTTTTATTAAATATCGTTATGTTCAATGAAAATCATGTTTTGAATTAACATCACTACCGTATCATTTCCATGTATTTTTGTTTATGCTTGCTCAGCATTTCGGTCACTGTTACTAATTGCTTTATTGTCGGCTGAAAAAGAAAATGACATTTTTTTAAGTCAATCAAAAACTTATTTTATTTTAAATAAATCACTTTCAGCAAGTGAACATGTTTAAGGTAAAAACCTACAAATTTCATATTAGCACTTACTTGAGTTTTCGAAAGAACTTGGAGCTCACGTAAATGAGAAACACAAATATGATGTAATGTCGCTAAATCTCTCGCTGTGTCTGATGAATTTTTATTTCTAATGTCTGCACTTTCAGGCTCTGGTTTTTCTGTGACATTCTGTTGAATGAATTATTATATTGATAATTAAATTATAAGTAACAGATACATAGAAATAAATTTATGTAAAAGAGATTCAAAAGATTCAATTACCGATAACTGATCGAGAAATACAACCATTCTCTCTTTGTTTTTTAGTATAAAAGGATTTACAACTTCCATATATGGCTCTTTGCCTCCGAATTCAACTAAGTTGGCTAAATTTTGCAGACATTTAGCTACCATAACTAGCGATCTAGAAATAATTGAAACCAATTAATACTCAATTTGTGCATCAAGTAGAAACAAAAACTTTACAAACTTTAGCGATTTAGTAAATTTGAATTTTATGCTAATCTTGGGTTTAAAATATTATAATATTATTAGAATTTAAATTATTTATACCTTGCTGCGGCAGGTGGTGGTGGTTCAGCAATTAAATTAAATGATCGAGGATTTAAAATAGCTGGGCATAATAAACGTAAAAAGATGAACCCACTTACAACTCGGGTTCTTACAAGTCTTTCATGAGGCCATTTAGTAACTACTGCTTTTTGTAAGCATCCACAGATGTACCTTAAAGTTTTAGGACATGCATCAGGGCTCGTAAAAATACTCAGTGTTATCTCGTCCAAAATCTAAACAGAATCGAAAAAATAATTCAAAGAATCAATACACAATATAAGAAGATTGATGCTTCAAAAGTTAACTTACTTGTAATAAAAATTCAGCATTATTACAAGCATCATCTGGTGAATCCATTTTCGTTGGATTTAATTCACAACTTTGTTTGCTTTCAATTATTTTAATAATAGTATCACGTAATGCAGCTTTTAAAAAAGGTGTACAAATTGATTTCATGTAAAGATCCATCAAAGTTGTAGTAAGACTAGCTGCTCTGAATAATGTTGGGGTTTCATCTTCTTTATCAACCTAAATTAAAAAAAAATTATCAATAGAAACAAATAATTGACTTTAAAAAAAAATATTTTTAATACTTCAGCTTGATTTAATGAACGTAATAAATCAGCTTCTTTTCGTTCATGTCTGAATATTCTAAGAAGACTATTGGCTAATGGTATTCTATCCAAATGGCACACATCTGCTAAAGCACGAACAACGTGCAGCTCTGGGTTTAACAATAATTCTTGCAACGGGCTATACTCTTCAGGAGGCATAGCCAAATCATGTCGATATCTGTGTGGTAAAAATAATTAAATTACCAACTTTTTAGGTAATAACAGTTAAAAGTTTTTTTGAACAAACAATATTATGTTTTCTTTGCAATAAATTAAATATTTAACAATTATTAACAGTTTATTGTCTTTATATATTACTTTCTTCAAATGTAAGTTATTCAAACAATTCATTTGGAATTTATACCGTATACGAAGTCGTAATGCTCCCCATTCTCCAATGGGTGTAATTCCAGATAACGGATACCAATCATCCATTTCCTCACCATTTACTAGATTAGTTAATTCTATTGATAGTTCTGCAACTTCAGTATCCTTACTTCGTTTTCCTTTATTATAAAGGGTGAGGGAGAATGACATGACATCAGGAGGCACATCCCTATTCATAGAAATAATTACATACTTAAGTGAATGGTTAATTTTTTAGGGCTATACATTAAATATTAAATTAAAATTTGAAACTAAATTTATCAATTCTTATTTTGAATTGATATGAATCATGAACTATTAAAATTATACGTACTCTAAAATAAATTCTTCATCCCAAAGTGGATGTAAACCAGTTTTAACTTTCGTTCGAGCTACTTTAACATTATTAAGCGCAACTATGATGAAAGGATTTGGTACTAATTTGTAAGGGAGCCTGTGTGCATCCAAAATATGAAGATGTAAAGATCGTAGTTCACGTAAACGTGCAACTTTTGGTGCTCGAGTTAATTGTGATACACATAGAGGCTTCAAAGTATTAATCCATTCTTGAGCATGTTCAGAATTAGATGCAGCTAAATATGTCACAGTGGCTAAACAAGGAAGAGCACGTTCAACTAATTGAAAACAATGTGGTCTGTCAAATACACTCTCATGAACCTGTATGAATAAACAACGAATAAATAGTGATTATATCTAATTTTTTATTAGTGATAAAAATTGATATCTCATAAATGTTATGTACCTGATAAAGATAAGCACAGCTTAAATCGATGAGCCCTTTGGGTTTCGTTCGTTTTGGATTATCATATAAGTATAAATGAGTGTCAGTTCCGTCAACAAGAAGTACAAAATACAAGGCTTTCCATTTTTTATTTTTCTCCGATTTTTTTTCTAAATAGCCTTGCATTTTAATGCCTTTATTCTTCTTAGCTCCTGACTGTTCGCGACATTCTCTTAAAGTTGCATAAATTTTTTCTGCATGTTGCACTTCTCTATTGACTCGTACACTTCCATCTGGTTCAGTTACCATCGCTTGAACCAATGTATGGCCTTCCACGATTTGTTCTTTTCTGTACCGATTAATAACTGCATCAAGACATTCAAAAGTTCTACCACCCATGAGATATCTTACGCCTTTTTTTTGAATTCTGAACCGTTGTATTTGATTATTAATGTGAAAAAATAATGAATAATCTCCCGGACTATTATCTGATGGTCTGACCTGAAGATTTTTAAGTTAAAAATTCATTTGCAATCTTCATATGATAAGTATTTTTAGTAAATAATAATTTAAAATACTTACTAAGAAGCTTCCTGGTCCTGCTTTTACCAGCATATCAACTGCCTCACATTTAGTTACATTAGGATGAAACCATGAAAATACTGTATTTGGATCGATAGAATCATCCAGATCTTCAACTAATTCACGGAATATCAAGCCTTGTTCACCCGTTCTATGGGCAGTAACCCACAACCAACCATCTCCCATGTCATTATGAACAAAAAATATGTCACCTTTTTGAAAACTTAATTCATCGGTATCTGGCATTTTTGTATATGGCAAAATAGCGACTATTCGTTTTTTATCATTTACAGGCTCTGGAGGTGGTGTTGGATGCATAAGCCGTTCCCTCTTTAATAAATCTGAACATCGAGTATAATATGCTACTAAATCAGATAAACTATTAAACTGACGACCGCCAATATAATAATCCCCACAAACAGCTGTAATTCTAAAGTGATTAATGCCAGTTCGTCCCAAATAAGATAAAACATAACTTCCGGGTTTTCTGTCACTCTCTCTGACCAAATAACTACCCATTTTGCTCGCATCCCATAGTCTCTCTTCAGCCGTAAATCGATCAAGTCGTCCATGATACCATCTGAAAATAACTAATAATAATTTGTGTACTATATTTACGTCAATTTCATGCCTAATAATCGAGTAAAGATCATACTGATTTTCTGGAGGTGCAGTTAATAACGTTGCATTAGCACTATCTTGTTCTTCAGCATCATGAGGATCATCTGGTATATTTTCGAGAAATGGATCGAATTCATTCTCTACATTCAATAATTCATTGAGTGTACCGTCTTCGCTGCCAGTACTAGGAGATCCTCCTTTTACAGAATGTTCAATCTGGAATAAAATGTTTCAGTGGAAAAATAGTTGCCACATAAATTTATATCAAATAATAATAAAGTATTGAAGCAGACAGAACATTTTATTTTAATAATGATAACTATTATAAAAATATTTATGTTTGAATTTTTCTTATTAAATTTTTATTTATATAATAACAAAAATTGTTTAATACAATCATTTTAAAGTTTCTTTTATTATAATCACTGAAAAGTATACAGTTGTACAAAATTATTTAGTTATAATAATTTTTTAACTAACAACTTTATAAAAAAGAAATACGAAGAAAAAAAAAAGGTCGTTGAATTATCATTATTAAGAATACTGGTTGCAAACTAAGCAAAGGAATGGTGGAACTTCAATCTAATTAGACAAAGTCAGGTTGAAAAGTTGACTCAATCCAAATAAATTGGATGTAATATAATAAAAATTTCTGGCAAAAGTTTAGCCAATTCAATCTGGATGATTAAACCTAATTATAAATAGAGTCAAGTTCTTCTATTAATATAACTATTCAAAGAAATTGTTCGGTAGATTAAATGGTAAAATTTGTTATTTAAATTTTTTAATTACTCAATCATTAATTACAAATAAAAATATCAAAAAACTTTAGATATTATTTATTTTAAATAAGAAACTAACAATCGTCAACTACTACACTCTGTAGAGATAAAACATTGAATTTATTATCCATTTTTAAATAATTAAAAAATTAATTATAATTTCTTGATTTCATATTATTTCTGCTATGAAGCATTTCTTGTATCGAAACAGTAATGAGAAATAATATAATTTTTTTTCTTTAAATATAATATATTAATCTCAAATGTAATCGATGATTCATAATAAACACAATGCTTTTTTATAATGCTGCTCATGAGTAATTAACATGATAAATTTAAATAGTGATAATTATGTACATGAAAATATCAGCTTATTCAGAATTTTCTTTATTTAAATATATTGTGATTGAATTGAATATAATGAAATAAAAATATAATTTCAATTAAATTAAATTGGATGTAGGTTATTGTAACAAACTACAACAGCAAATTCGATTAAGCCTAATTAAATGATGTTGGATTCAAAATATGATTTGCTTATATGTTCTTTCGAATCTTGTGAATTTTTTATGAAATAAAAAATCCACTTCCAGTAAAATTTTTATCGTAGTAAAAAATAAATTATCTATCATTTAACTTTTTATTTGATCAATGAAATTATAAATAAATATTCTACACTAGTAGTTTACCTTATTACTGGATATACTAGGACCTCCACGAACAAATTCTGCCATTTTGTAAATTTTTATTCACTTTGCAAGATATTACGAACAAAACGTATGAATATTTCAATTTTCACAAAACTCTAAAAAACAAAATCATTCAACCACCAGTATTCATTTTCAATTTAGTAAAAAAAAAGCCTTATAATTTATTATAAGAACAGATATATTGACGTTTTTCAACATCCATTATGTTTTCTTTTGCTTTAGAATCTACCCATGTTCAAACACGCATGTAAGTTAGTACACTAAATTCCAATGAAAATACAAAAATTGAAGATGAGAATTTTGCGGTCACTTTACGTTATCTGTCTCGAATACAGCTGCGATGACATATCTATAAAAATTTAACCACAATCAGATGAAACAGATACTGTACATGTTAGTGTATGTATTTTTTAATTTTTCAATAAACATTTTAGAAAATTGTATTTACAAATAAAAGAAAAAAAAATAATAAAATGACAAAAGTAAAGGATATTTATAAAAAGTATTATTCGAATTATTGATGGATAAATGATAATTGTACACGCTTGAATGACGTTAATTGATACCTAATTAGCTAACGTAGGCGAATTCACATCCAGTACGAAATTTTCAGACTTGGAAATAGCTCACCCTCGACAGTAATAAGTAAAAGTAAAAATTGACACTAATTGGCTGTAATTTTACTGTCAACTATCAGAGCTAAAGGCTGTGCTAAAGTTAGGAAGTCTCCCTGAGTTGAATTTACGCCCTCGCGTTATACGGTAGAAGGTCGAAGCTCGATGTCAACTGAAATTGGGTAGGTAACAGAGAAATCGTTCGGAAAATGATAATAAACAGAAATGCAAAAAAAAAGCATGAAGGAATCAAGAAATGAGAAAATTTCGGAATTATCAGTTCCAAGCGGGACAAAGCAAAAAATACACATGGCAAACTGTCAAAAAAAGTGCAACTTTTATTTGTTCTTAGAAATTTTGAGAGCGGAAGAATTTTTTTTCAATGGATTCCTGAGAGCAAGAGCTTTCCATTGATATAGTTAAAATTATGATCCGGCCATAATTTATGCTAAAATTATAGCCATTTCCGGTTCTACGGTTATTTAAATGAATTATTATTTAAGGCCGAATTTCAGAGAATCGGAACGTACAAAATAACTCTCGATTATCAAGATCAGAAAATTTCTCTTCCTAACCTCAAAAATAGCTAAAAATCGTATTTATGCTTGGATCATAAAATTAAGGGTGTCATCGGAAAGACGGGGGACGAGACGAGTTTCAAACACTGGCTGTCGACTATATTTGGTTAGTAAAATCGAGAGATATTCTCGAAAAACTGTAAAACATAAAAATGTGCATAACTTCTATGCAAATAATGCTACGGGGTTGAACGAGGACTCATATGAAAGATCTGGACCTAAGTAATAAATTGGGTCCCCCCTATAGGATATCCCCGTCAAAAATGCCGTATCTCGCTTAGTTTTCGAGTTATGAGCGTTTAAAGATTTTTCTATGCTCTGCTGGAGCATAACCTTGTTTTTCGCTTATAACTTACGATCTATGAGAGGTACATAGACCACAAGTATATTAATGGATTCCTGAGAGCAAGAGCTTTCCATTGATATAGTTAAAATTATGATCCGGCCATAATTTATGCTAAAATTATAGCCATTTCCGGTTCTACGGTTATTTAAATGAATTATTATTTAAGGCCGAATTTCAGAGAATCGGAACGTACAAAATAACTCTCGATTATCAAGATCAAAAATTTCTCTTTCTAACCTCAAAAATAGCTAAAAATCGTATTTATGCTTGGATCATAAAATTAAGGGTGTCATCGGAAAGAGGGGGACGAGACGGGTTTCCAAACACTGGCTGTCGACGTATTTGGTTAGTAAAATCGAGAGATATTCTCGAAAAACTGTAAAACATAAAAATGTGCATAACTTCTATGCAAATAATGCTACGGGGTTGAACGAGGACTCATATGAAAGATCTGGACCTAAGTAATAAATTGGGTCCCCCCTATAGGATATCCCCGTCAAAAATGCCGTATCTCGCTTAGTTTTCGAGTTATGAGCGTTTAAAGATTTTTCTATGCTCTGCTGGAGCATAACCTTGTTTTTCGCTTATAACTTACGATCTATGAGAGGTACATAGACCACAAGTATATTAATGGATTCCTGAGAGCAAGAGCTTTCCATTGATATAGTTAAAATTATGATCCGGCCATAATTTATGCTAAAATTATAGCCATTTCCGGTTCTACGGTTATTTAAATGAATTATTATTTAAGGCCGAATTTCAGAGAATCGGAACGTACAAAATAACTCTCGATTATCAAGATCAATAAATTTCTCTTCCTAACCTCAAAAATAGCTAAAAATCGTATTTATGCTTGGATCATAAAATTAAGGGTGTCATCGGAAAGACGGGGGACGAGACGGGTTTCCAAACACTGGCTATTGACCGTATTTGGTTAGTAAAATCGAGAGATATTCTCGAAAAACTGTAAAACATAAAAATGTGCATAACTTCTATGCAAATAATGCTACGGGGTTGAACGAGGACTCATATGAAAGATCTGGACCTAAGTAATAAATTGGGTCCCCCCTATAGGATATCCCCGTCAAAAATGCCGTATCTCGCTTAGTTTTCGAGTTATGAGCGTTTTAAAGATTTTTCTATGCTCTGCTGGAGCATAACCTTGTTTTTCGCTTATAACTTACGATCTATGAGAGGTACATAGACCACAAGTATATTAATGGATTCCTGAGAGCAAGAGCTTTCCATTGATATAGTTAAAATTATGATCCGGCCATAATTTATGCTAAAATTATAGCCATTTCCGGTTCTACGGTTATTTAAATGAATTATTATTTAAGGCCGAATTTCAGAGAATCGGAACGTACAAAATAACTCTCGATTATCAAGATCAATAAATTTCTCTTCCTAACCTCAAAAATAGCTAAAAATCGTATTTATGCTTGGATCATAAAATTAAGGGTGTCATCGGAAAGAGGGGGACGAGACGGGTTCCAAACACTGGCTATTGACCGTATTTGGTTAGTAAAATCGAGAGATATTCTCGAAAAACTGTAAAACATAAAAATGTGCATAACTTCTATGCAAATAATGCTACGGGGTTGAACGAGGACTCATATGAAAGATCTGGACCTAAGTAATAAATTGGGTCCCCCCTATAGGATATCCCCGTCAAAAATGCCGTATCTCGCTTAGTTTTCGAGTTATGAGCGTTTAAAGATTTTTCTATGCTCTGCTGGAGCATAACCTTGTTTTTCGCTTATAACTTACGATCTATGAGAGGTACATAGACCACAAGTATATTAATGGATTCCTGAGAGCAAGAGCTTTCCATTGATATAGTTAAAATTATGATCCGGCCATAATTTATGCTAAAATTATAGCCATTTCCGGTTCTACGGTTATTTAAATGAATTATTATTTAAGGCCGAATTTCAGAGAATCGGAACGTACAAAATAACTCTCGATTATCAAGATCAATAAATTTCTCTTCCTAACCTCAAAAATAGCTAAAAATCGTATTTATGCTTGGATCATAAAATTAAGGGTGTCATCGGAAAGACGGGGGACGAGACGGGTTTCCAAACACTGGCTATTGACCGTATTTGGTTAGTAAAATCGAGAGATATTCTCGAAAAACTGTAAAACATAAAAATGTGCATAACTTCTATGCAAATAATGCTACGGGGTTGAACGAGGACTCATATGAAAGATCTGGACCTAAGTAATAAATTGGGTCCCCCCTATAGGATATCCCCGTCAAAAATGCCGTATCTCGCTTAGTTTTCGAGTTATGAGCGTTTAAAGATTTTTCTATGCTCTGCTGGAGCATAACCTTGTTTTTCGCTTATAACTTACGATCTATGAGAGGTACATAGACCACAAGTATATTAATGGATTCCTGAGAGCAAGAGCTTTCCATTGATATAGTTAAAATTATGATCCGGCCATAATTTATGCTAAAATTATAGCCATTTCCGGTTCTACGGTTATTTAAATGAATTATTATTTAAGGCCGAATTTCAGAGAATCGGAACGTACAAAATAACTCTCGATTATCAAGATCAGAAAATTTCTCTTCCTAACCTCAAAAATAGCTAAAAATCGTATTTATGCTTGGATCATAAAATTAAGGGTGTCATCGGAAAGAGGGGGACGAGACGGGTTTCAAACACTGGCTGTCGACTATATTTGGTTAGTAAAATCGAGAGATATTCTCGAAAAACTGTAAAACATAAAAATGTGCATAACTTCTATGCAAATAATGCTACGGGGTTGAACGAGGACTCATATGAAAGATCTGGACCTAAGTAATAAATTGGGTCCCCCCTATAGGATATCCCCGTCAAAAATGCCGTATCTCGCTTAGTTTTCGAGTTATGAGCGTTTAAAGATTTTTCTATGCTCTGCTGGAGCATAACCTTGTTTTTCGCTTATAACTTACGATCTATGAGAGGTACATAGACCACAAGTATATTAATGGATTCCTGAGAGCAAGAGCTTTCCATTGATATAGTTAAAATTATGATCCGGCCATAATTTATGCTAAAATTATAGCCATTTCCGGTTCTACGGTTATTTAAATGAATTATTATTTAAGGCCGAATTTCAGAGAATCGGAACGTACAAAATAACTCTCGATTATCAAGATCAATAAATTTCTCTTCCTAACCTCAAAAATAGCTAAAAATCGTATTTATGCTTGGATCATAAAATTAAGGGTGTCATCGGAAAGAGGGGGACGAGACGGGTTCCAAACACTGGCTATTGACCGTATTTGGTTAGTAAAATCGAGAGATATTCTCGAAAAACTGTAAAACATAAAAATGTGCATAACTTCTATGCAAATAATGCTACGGGGTTGAACGAGGACTCATATGAAAGATCTGGACCTAAGTAATAAATTGGGTCCCCCCTATAGGATATCCCCGTCAAAAATGCCGTATCTCGCTTAGTTTTCGAGTTATGAGCGTTTAAAGATTTTTCTATGCTCTGCTGGAGCATAACCTTGTTTTTCGCTTATAACTTACGATCTATGAGAGGTACATAGACCACAAGTATATTAATGGATTCCTGAGAGCAAGAGCTTTCCATTGATATAGTTAAAATTATGATCCGGCCATAATTTATGCTAAAATTATAGCCATTTCCGGTTCTACGGTTATTTAAATGAATTATTATTTAAGGCCGAATTTCAGAGAATCGGAACGTACAAAATAACTCTCGATTATCAAGATCAATAAATTTCTCTTCCTAACCTCAAAAATAGCTAAAAATCGTATTTATGCTTGGATCATAAAATTAAGGGTGTCATCGGAAAGACGGGGGACGAGACGGGTTTCAAACACTGGCTGTCGACCGTATTTGGTTAGTAAAATCGAGAGATATTCTCGAAAAACTGTAAAACATAAAAATGTGCATAACTTCTATGCAAATAATGCTACGGGGTTGAACGAGGACTCATATGAAAGATCTGGACCTAAGTAATAAATTGGGTCCCCCCTATAGGATATCCCCGTCAAAAATGCCGTATCTCGCTTAGTTTTCGAGTTATGAGCGTTTAAAGATTTTTCTATGCTCTGCTGGAGCATAACCTTGTTTTTCGCTTATAACTTACGATCTATGAGAGGTACATAGACCACAAGTATATTAATGGATTCCTGAGAGCAAGAGCTTTCCATTGATATAGTCAAAATTATGATCCGGCCATAATTTATGCTAAAATTATAGCCATTTCCGGTTCTACGGTTATTTAAATGAATTATTATTTAAGGCCGAATTTCAGAGAATCGGAACGTACAAAATAACTCTCGATTATCAAGATCAATAAATTTCTCTTCCTAACCTCAAAAATAGCTAAAAATCGTATTTATGCTTGGATCATAAAATTAAGGGTGTCATCGGAAAGACGGGGACGAGACGAGTTTCAAACACTGGCTGTCGACTATATTTGGTTAGTAAAATCGAGAGATATTCTCGAAAAACTGTAAAACATAAAAATGTGCATAACTTCTATGCAAATAATGCTACGGGGTTGAACGAGGACTCATATGAAAGATCTGGACCTAAGTAATAAATTGGGTCCCCCCTATAGGATATCCCCGTCAAAAATGCCGTATCTCGCTTAGTTTTCGAGTTATGAGCGTTTAAAGATTTTTCTATGCTCTGCTGGAGCATAACCTTGTTTTTCGCTTATAACTTACGATCTATGAGAGGTACATAGACCACAAGTATATTAATGGATTCCTGAGAGCAAGAGCTTTCCATTGATATAGTTAAAATTATGATCCGGCCATAATTTATGCTAAAATTATAGCCATTTCCGGTTCTACGGTTATTTAAATGAATTATTATTTAAGGCCGAATTTCAGAGAATCGGAACGTACAAAATAACTCTCGATTATCAAGATCAATAAATTTCTCTTTCCTAACCTCAAAAATAGCTAAAAATCGTATTTATGCTTGGATCATAAAATTAAGGGTGTCATCGGAAAGACGGGGGACGAGACGGGTTCCAAACACTGGCTGTGACCGTATTTGGTTAGTAAAATCGAGAGATATTCTCGAAAAACTGTAAAACATAAAAATGTGCATAACTTCTATGCAAATAATGCTACGGGGTTGAACGAGGACTCATATGAAAGATCTGGACCTAAGTAATAAATTGGGTCCCCCCCTATAGGATATCCCCGTCAAAAATGCCGTATCTCGCTTAGTTTTCGAGTTATGAGCGTTTAAAGATTTTTCTATGCTCTGCTGGAGCATAACCTTGTTTTTCGCTTATAACTTACGATCTATGAGAGGTACATAGACCACAAGTATATTAATGGATTCCTGAGAGCAAGAGCTTTCCATTGATATAGTTAAAATTATGATCCGGCCATAATTTATGCTAAAATTATAGCCATTTCCGGTTCTACGGTTATTTAAATGAATTATTATTTAAGGCCGAATTTCAGAGAATCGGAACGTACAAAATAACTCTCGATTATCAAGATCAATAAATTTCTCTTCCTAACCTCAAAAATAGCTAAAAATCGTATTTATGCTTGGATCATAAAATTAAGGGTGTCATCGGAAAGAGGGGGACGAGACGGGTTCCAAACACTGGCTATTGACCGTATTTGGTTAGTAAAATCGAGAGATATTCTCGAAAAACTGTAAAACATAAAAATGTGCATAACTTCTATGCAAATAATGCTACGGGGTTGAACGAGGACTCATATGAAAGATCTGGACCTAAGTAATAAATTGGGTCCCCCCTATAGGATATCCCCGTCAAAAATGCCGTATCTCGCTTAGTTTTCGAGTTATGAGCGTTTAAAGATTTTTCTATGCTCTGCTGGAGCATAACCTTGTTTTTCGCTTATAACTTACGATCTGTGAGAGGTACATAGACCACAAGTATATTAATGGATTCCTGAGAGCAAGAGCTTTCCATTGATATAGTCAAAATTATGATCCGGCCATAATTTATGCTAAAATTATAGCCATTTCCGGTTCTACGGTTATTTAAATGAATTATTATTTTTTGTTGAAACAATTTTCAATAATAATAAATGTATTTTTTTTTTTCCGTCTTTAATATTACTACTTATAAAAAATATATAATTTAATCAAAATAAATAACAATGGAATCTATTCACAGTTCTTGTTCTTTATGTATCGATCATTTAAATATTTTTATTTAAATTGAAAAATTTTAATTTTATTCATAATTTTGTTTTATTGGCAAGTTTGTCAAAGTTTGAACCTTTGATTATATTGGACACGTCCTTTTTTATATTTATGTTTAAACCATCGCTCAATCTAGGTAATTTTTCATATATTATTGCATAGGATTGTTGTTTCATAATAACATGCACGAATACTGTACAACTGCCAATTAAATATTGAATCCATTTTCATTATATAAATTCAAGTCCTTCGAATTTCTGAGTAGCTATCTTCGTATCTGGTAACAGTATTGAACCATCTATTGTGAATGCTGTAATGTACGTGGCAGTATCACCTTTATATTCTTCAGTTTTTAGTGCCACAATAATATAATCATTTGAACCAGGAAGGAATTTGAAACTAGAATATCCTCTTATTGGTATGATCGTACCAATTTTTATTACTGCTACTGTACTGAAATACTCATCTGTTTTTAATAAAACATTGCAACTCATATTTTCATCTGTTGTTTCGTTATATTGGTTTTGAGAACATCGACGAGGTAGAAAAAACCAGCTCTTATGTATATTACTCCATGTACCAGATTCATGGATCATATATCCTGTATATTTAAAAAAATGTTTAGTACATAAATAAGTTTGTTATAGAGACATAATTATTTAATTTTAAATATATATTAATACCTGGAAAATTGATATTGATCGATGCTCTTAATTTTTTATAATTATCCATCCAGTTTAATGAATTAGATGCACCATCCGGAGACAATACTTTTATCCACATAGGATTATTATTAACAAATTCCCCGGAGGCTGAAGTCCACTCTTTTCCCATGCTACCAATATACAGTAAATTATTTTTTACAGCAGCCCATTCTGATTTAAAACCTATTCAAATACATCAATTATAAATTAACAAATATCAAGTCTTTTTTAATTACATTATTTTTAATTATCATAGCAAAAATGATCGAACCTTTTGAAGTTTTTCCATCACCATCTGCTAGGATGATCCAAGGATAAATTTTATCATTCTCTATTTGGTAAACAAGACCAGTTCTATCATCAAAGCTCAAGAGCCGACCATCAAATGTTACAAGCTCTGATAACTCCATGCCACGATCCTTCATCGAAAAGGTTGAAGAAAGACTAATTTCATCTTCATCCCAATGAACAGAAATATGATTATTTTTTGGTAACCACGTCAGCCATCCTTTTTTAAAATAACTTATCCATTTATTTTCTTCATTAGCTTTTGACTGTAAATCGAGATCACTCACAATTCCAATTCGATAAGTTGTTCCTGAGTTCGTACGTATGGGTGCAGTCATAGGATATGTTGAATTATATTTGTAGATATTCAAACATGAAGTATTTTTACACTCAGTAAAGCAGTTATAATTTAATGCAAACGAGCAAAAATATAGCAAAATCAATAATAGTATTGAGAAAAAAATTATTAAATAATGATTTTGAATTCGTAATGTGCTGCTACCCACTCTATATACATGAGGAAGGTCTAAATTATTTCGCCAATTTCGTCCAGTAAACATATTCGTCATAATTTATCTAATTAATTTGATTTTTTTTTACTTATGTATTTATATGGATATTTGCAATAATGTACATTTCATCGTAATCTGAAAAACAAATTTTAATATGATTTAAAAATATAATGAAATTATGTAAAACTGCGTATAATTAAATATGTGTAAAAACTTAATTAAAAAATAAATCTTACACGTTTATTTGACAACTCACCAACTTTGTGTCTTATTGTTCACTATCCAGAAAACAGATTTCTCATTATAACCTATATTTTCAATCTGATTTTTCGCTTCGTTTTCATTGAATATACTAATTAAATCCATAAAATTGATGTTAATTAGTGATTTATGATATTTCAATTTATAGATTCAAAATAAGAATAATTAATAAACAATAAATAGTAACTTCAAAAATAACAAAATACAATTGTCATTAAATCAAGCTGAGATAAGAATGTATAATACATTTTTCAATTTACTATCAGTGAATGATTTCATAATTTATACAATAATATACAGATAAATATGATAACTTTTTAAATATTTATGAATTTTAAAGTCAACTGTACAAATAAGAATTGGTATAAAGATATGTACATAGACAAATTAATTGAAAACATGAGTTAACAGATTCAATGCACGCTGAATATCTAAGAATAAAATAGCATATTGAAAGATACTCGATTTTACTCATTTATTTTAATTCATTTATGAATGTATTTGTTTTTAAAACGATTAATGTATCTATGTCAAATAGTTTATTTAAATTGTTTTTATTTATGAAAAAAAAAAATTTGGAAAAACTACTGTAGATCCCTAGATTAAAAGGTTACCGACTTGTTGGGTGAAATTAATATTGTGATAAAGATTTGACAGATGTCTCTGCTTGGATTTTTTTAAATTTAAAAGACATTAAATTCTTTAAAAAATTTTTTTTTGTTCAAATTTTTTAAATAAATAATTTCTTATTGTTGAATAACTATACACAATATATATAGCAGTATTTGAAAACTTTTTTGATATATCTATAACATTAAACATATAATTATCTTCTCATACTTCAATTTCAGGCTCCGGAACAGGGAGCATCACTGAAGATACCGCAACAGGTTTTTTTTGGTCAAATCTACATAAAAGAACTTCGACTTTTTCAGGAATTAAACTTTTAGGAGTTGCTCTAACCGTAACTGGTACTGGATGACCAGCTAAAATAAAAGGTAAATCAATGATCCTGCGATCAATATCTACTGTTTCTTCACTTCTATAAAGCAAATGCAATCCCTCATTCAAAGTTTTTTCCTTGACCGTACTTAACACAGTACGAATTACATATGTTGGCCCTAATCCTAGCACACTAATTTCCATGTTAACTGAATTATTAGCAGGGCTTGCCTGAGAATATAAAAGTTCGTTTGCTTTTTTAGCAACAGCCAATTGAAGTTGAAGAAAATCTCGTTCAAAAGTACTATGAATGTTTTTGGCTTCTGCTTTTTCACGATTGGTTTGTTCTAAGAACAGTCGAGTTTTCTTTGGTATTGAGAATTTCTGACTAGAATTCACAGAAGTATTTGAATTATCAATTCTACTGCTAAAATTTGCAGTTCGTTTTAAAATTTTTACACATAATCCACCTCGAAGTGTCACTAAAGCCAAAGCACGTTCTTCTTGCCCCATACGTCCATACTGAAAATCCATTTTACAAAATTATTCCTCAAAATAGTGAATACTACTTAAAAATTATAAATACATTTAACATGACAGTTGATTTCTTACCTTCATAGCCGAAATAGGTTCTAATGTAGATATCGTATCAACATGATGTTGTGCATCATAAATAAGAATACCAACTTGTGGTATGCTGATAGCAAGAAGAGATAAACCAGTCTGAGGAACTGGAATGCTAATCATATCTAGTGCAAAATCGACAAGTTGAACTTCCCATAGCTTTGCGCCATTCATTGAAAGTCCAACTAAAGTACCGTTCATAAGGACAGCTGCTAGACCTTCAGCAGCAAGAGTAGCAATTGCTACTACAGGAGCAGCAAGATTTTCCCAGAGACTTATAGCTGACATTCCTTTTTTTAAAACACCAATTCTAGTATCTCTTGAAGCAACAAATATTTTGCCATCGCCAGACCACAATCCTGCACTTGCGATAGCTGCGGGTGCCCAACCAAGATAGAGTTTATCAGTCAATGAAAAAGATCTGAGTTTTATTACAAAAAAAAATTATTTATAAATTTTTAAAATATGTTACAATAAAGTTAAATTCTCGCATTAGTATTACCTTGGATCTAAAATGAGTATTTCTCCAATTTCAGTGCCGAGAACCAAACAGCTACAAGCTGGATCATGCCATGAATCTTTTCTGACAGTTCCAATAACACATAAACAATTAGGTTTGGTTAAAGGTACATTTCGATACTGTTCAACAAATTCAAGGCGATGATTTTCATCCATTGAAAGAAATTTTAGTGTACGTGGAGTCATAAAAGATGCACCAAGTTCATTCGAAAGTAATTCAAGATCATCACATAAAGATTTTATATTAAGATCACCTTCAGAACAAGCTTTATTCCAAATCTGTGTAGAAATAAAATAATATTAAAGACATGAAATATTTTTTTAAATGTTAAATACTTGATTTTTGATAAATCTTATTATATAAAAATTTTATTAATAAATAAATCCATTAATACCTCTCTCTCTTTAGGATGAGCGTCTAAACACGGTAAATTATATTTAAAATGTGGTTTCATATTTTTATAAATAAATACACTAGCAGCAGAACCAACAGCAACAACTGCAGATCGTAGTTCATTATTTTCTGTATAGAATCCAACAACTCCACATGGTGGTTCTAACACAGGTATTTCATTAATTTGTTCTCCACCTTTAAATACACGAATCTAAAACATCAATATAATAATTGGATTAAATTAATCAAAATAAATTAAAAAATATCAATCAAAGATTAAAATAAAAATACCTTAGATGATTCTGTAGACTCTGGAGGAATATCTATGCAAATTAATCTCGCTTGACCATCTCCAGTTATATCAATCATTTCAAGACCACCAGGTAAGGCAGAAATTTTAGCAGAAGGTTCCCAAACAGCTTCTAACCAACGACTTGTACTTAGTCTTGAATTCAAAGCTCGCTCCATTTTTTATAATAATAAAACAATAATAGTACATGTATTTTCTAATTTTTTACTATATTTTTGAAATAAATCAATCGATTTTCATACTGATGCATTTTATGTAAACAATTGAAGCAGATCAATTTCATTGTGATTGAAATGATAAAAAAACTTTTAAAAAATAAAATGGTATTATTGTTTATAAGTATGTATTTAAAAATTGTATCTTAATATACATAAATATAAAATGATTGACCTTTTGAATTGCACACGTTTATTTACACTACCGAGAACTGATGAGCAAGCACAGAGCGTCGAAACCTTTGTTTTGATTTTGTATCCATAGTAGAGTACCTGCGTGTTTACGCTAAATCCGTCCAATAGAAAATACGTGCGAAGTAGGAATATGTAAAATTCCAACGCCACAAAGGAGGGATTTTTGAAGAATAATGTTATTATTTACTATTCAACATCTTTATTTTTATTTTTACATTTGACTTCGTGCATATTATATCATTCTATTGGCATGAGTTGTGAGTGAATACAATTCAGTGATTAGGAGAATATAAAATTTATATTTTTTCTAATAAAAATGGATATAGAAACAAGTACTCCAATTGTTATGCTTCAAAACCTTGAACAAAGTTCTCGTTTATCAGAGGTTTCTGGATCATGGAAACTTAATTCACAGTTGCAGCAAGCAAATAATAATAATAATACAGTGAAGATACAAATTGGTGATTCGTGGTACAGTAAAGTTGATGGTCCCTGTTATGTTGATTTTCAAAATGGGATTCCTGACCCAAGAGACTCGTTTTTTGGTTCGTATATTATTTATTGCATTCATCATATTGTGTAATAATAGATACTAAATTATTTAAATAATTATTTTTCTTAAAGATGGACATGGATCATGTGTTTCTACACCAATACCACAACAAAAAGAACATCCAAATCAGTTGACGCCGAATTTGGATATAATCAGGTTAATATTTGTATGGACGAAAATGTTATTTTTAAATCAAAATATAAAATAATTGTAAATGTTATATTTTAGCTCACTTAAGCGATGCTCAATCTCTAGAATTGATGATTTAAGTGAAGGAGATAGTACTCTTAAAGCTGATTGTACTGTACGAGAATTTCAAGTAAATTATTATTTTTTTTTCCATTTCAAGAAACTTATTAATAGACTTTGAATAATTATTAGTTAATTGTTACTAATTTATTTTTTCAATTTTTAGAATTCAAAAAATTCGACCCTCTTGATTAGTCCTGATCCTCAAAGAAGACTCTCTCGACAGTCACTAACGACAGTAAAACCGTTCAGCTTTGAATTACGTGAGAAAGAACGACGAGAACGTTTAGAAGCTAAACAACACTATGTAATGAATTTTTTACATTTACATTTATGTTAACTAATAATAACATTTATTCTTAAAATAGTTAGATGATTAAATGATTTTGAAAATTTTTTGTAGATAAATATTTTGAAAGAACAGTATGAAGCTGAAACTTCAAAAGCAAAACGACCAAAATTTAGATCTACCAAAAAAGCAAACTCTATTGATACCAGTGCAAAAGTGAAACTTCTAGCTCAGTTTGAAAAAATAGCAGATGTCGAACAAAACAACAAAGTTTTGACTTTGGCTAATACAGAATTTCCAATTGCTAATAAATCAAATGCCGTAGAAGTTCCTGATAAGCAAAAATTTGAAGTTTGTACAAAGATAAGACCGGAAACTGAAATTATAAAGAACCAAATACCTTTAATTACAGGACAAGTCAATAAAATTGTTGAAATTTTTGATAAAAAAAAACCTCCGGATCCGGTTAAAATACATCTAACAAATAAAATCAATGACAAACCAGCATCAACAATGAAAATACAACCCACTAAACCTCTTTTTGCTGATGGACAAAACGTGCCAGTTAAAAATACATTACAAGTTGAGAATAAAAAAGAAATTAACGATTCAAGCAATAAAAAATTAGTTGAGGTAGGTAAATAAAGAAAAATATTGGAATATTAATTATTACTAACATAATTATGATTTATTATTTTAAGCCATGGAAACAAAAACCATTTCAAGTTTCTCTTCCTAAACGTCCAGCATGCATTCCGCGATCACCTAAATTACGTACTGCACAACGAGCAAGAGCCAGACAATTATTTGATGATAAGTTAAAAGAAAAAGAAAAGCAACAAGAGGAAATGAGGAAAAAAGTAAATGTACTAATTTGTTTCGATATTTTATCAAATCGAATAATTAAATGGAGAAAATTTTTCATAGCTATCTATACCAATCAAGTGATTTTTTTCTTAATACAATTTTACATATTAATGACTTACAAAAATTATGTTTAATTTCAGGATGCAGTTAATAAAGAGAAACGTGAAAAACAAGAAATTCAAAAGCTGCGGAAACAATTAGTTCATAAAGTTACACCAGTACCAATTGCAAATACAAAACGTAATCTAACAGATCCAATAATTCCGATTTTTGTGAAACGTCGTAAACTAAATAGTCAACATAATACTAACAGTAAAAATAAAAAAGTAGTAAAATGATTTTTTACATCAATATATTTATGATTGAAATAGATGTAAAAGTAGAACATGAAGACATTGAGGTATTCGATAATAAATTAAATTCTGTATATCTCAAAATATGTGCCAATTATTATATATTTAGTTTAGATATCTCAACATTAAACATATCGAACTTTATATAGTGTTACATTGCATTTGGTGCAACAATGATACAAATGAAATTAATCATTGTTTGGAAACAATAATTAGTTAAAAAGTATTTTTATTACAGAAAATAATTTTTCAACTTATCTCTTGATTCCCAGTTGAACTTTTCAATTAATTATGTCATTCGATTGGCAACAAAATTCAATTATTATTGTCATTACTTGAAAATAAATAATTATTGGTATATGCATATGTATATAAAAAATTATCAGTCTGTAAAATAAATTGTTATATTTTTCTAGTGTTTGTTATCAATAAAAAATACTGGGGATGATATTTTACAACTAATCATTAATCATTAAATTAATTTCTAATTAAGTACATTAAGTAATTTAATTGACAATAAATCTCAAAGTTAATCTCATTCGTCAAGGAAAATAGATAGATAATTTGAACTTCATCGCATAATTTTATAGTAAAAATTACCTATATTTATACTTAATATACCTAAAATCGAATTAATACTAAAATCAATGTAAATCACATTGTGTCATTACAGTCTTCCTGCATTTATCAAAATTACAGTTACTGATTAATTAACAGAACACATTACAAAAACGCTTTTTTTAATTCCACACATTACAATAACACTTTTGTTTATAATTATTAATTCCTGTCTTTTATTTAACCTCAGGTCTTTATGTTCAAATTTGTTCAGTTATTGATTAAATATCGAATTGGTAAAGATGAAATCTTAGCCAATAATAACATTATTGTTAACGATAAACAAAAATATTAGAACATCGAGCATTTTTCATTTACCATTAATTATTGTGTTGAATATTGAATAATATAAGAGGCCTGTCATTGTGAATTCAGAATTTAGAATAACAATATTTATAGCAATATTTTGATCACATATATCCACATATTTCTTATGTATAATTGTTTATAACATTATTATAAAGTGTATATATTTATCATTTATCCAGTTATTTCAATATTATACTTTTAAAAATAAAGAGCTTAATTACAAAAAGTAACACGATATTTAATACACTTTTCATCAAATTCATGCAAACTTTGATCATTAAAAGCAACTTTAATGATCATGAATTGATAAAGTAACAAAGAAGAGTTAATTGTAATTTTTTGTTCTTAAGCTCTTTAAAAAATCACAAAAATCCACAACAATAACAAAATTACAATTACATGATTAAGATAGACTTGTTTTCAACAATAAATTATTTAGCACCATCATAGGATAGAATTAAATCTCAATATTTTTACTTTTGTCTATTATTAACTATTTCTGATTGGCTTGGATCAAGATGAAGAAGTGGAGATGAAAGTGATGGTGGTAACGTTTCCAAAGTAGGAAGACGCGAATTAAGTACTTCTATTTCTGGACAATGAATTTGACAACCAGTACTTGAAGTACTTAAATTAGATTCTGATAGCATACCTCTAGTCTTTTTTCTTCGCCAATCGATTTTATCACCATTATCAGTATCACCTGTATCTTCATTTTCAGTCGATCGAAATCCAGGTAGATATTTTTTGAGCTTCGAATAATGAAATTGTGCAAAATCTGATGATGGACCAATCACATAAAGAAGTGGACATAAAAAGAACGTTGCATATATCCAACTAACGCACATGACTAGGATAAGAAAAATTGCAATTTGAATGTATGCTAAAACGTGTGATGGCAACATAAATGCACCCGAAGCTCCACTTGTAACAGCTGCCATGAGTGTAGGACCACCCATTTGCTCCAATGCTGCCTTAACTTTGTCTACTTTTTTTTCTGATTTACATGCACGATAACTCACACTATAATGTAAACTAAAATCAACTGCTAACCCTATAGCTGTTGATACAGCAACACTTTCAAGAACGTTGAGCCGCCAATTTAATAAAACAAGAGCAGCTACTGTAACTAATATTGCTCCTCCGATCGTTACAATTGCATATAAACTGAGCAATGGATTCAATGTTACAAATGCTAATACTATTAAAGCTAAAATCATGGATACTCCCATTGCCCAAAGTGTACCCTCATACAGAGTCCGTTGAAGTTCATAAAATTCCAAATGACTTACAAACCAACCACCACGCATACCTGGTGGTGCACCTTTTAATTGCTCTTGCATCCAATTTTCAACTTTGTTATAAAATTCATTCATCTCTGTGAATGACAAACTATACGAATAAGTACTGTCATATTCGACAATCAGTGCCATTATTTTTGGCAAAGGCATTGGCAGAGTTATATTATTTTCATCGACTTGTAGTTTTACAGAGTCTTTCAAGTACTTGATCCCACCAGCAACCACTCCTCCGCGAGTCCATAAGTAAGCAGGTGTTCGATAAAGATCCGCGCTGGCTTCGGCAACACACCGTGATAGAACTTCTGGAGTGTAAGGATATGTACTGCTTTCACAACAAGGTGCTCGGCTTATCTGGGGATTAATGACATCTTCACATCTTCGAGCCATCCAAGAGCGAAATGATTCAATAAAACAGTTGGATATTAGAGGGCCCAAAGTGTTGTGGTAAAATGGCTGAGTCCGAAGATTTCTACAAAATTGTTCAAGCCACAGTTGGGATTCTTTGTCAGTAATATTGAAGGTTTCGTCCCAGATTAGTTCACCTCGAGAAGCAGGATCTAAATAGTCACCATTGTCATATGGTTTGATGCCCCAGACAAATCGCAGAGGTAATAGGCCAGCACCTTCACCCTGAAATTTAATTGAAATTGATAAGGGAAATGTTTTTTGGAACGAAACAATTAGCTAATATTTGATATTAGATTTATATCTTACCATATCACTCTTTTCAAACCAGAATTTTGGTGCATACAGAGAAGTGTATCGTTCAAATAGATGCGAACTATCAAACAATTGAAAATCTGGAGAATTAGGTAATCTTAATCCTGGGTAACTGAAGACTATCACTCCTCCAATTAATACAATCGCTCCTAAAGTTGATATCCATAGCCATCTTAAGCCAATGACTAATCTCATGAGTAAATCACTGAATCCAGCTACTAATTTGTTCATAGTTATTTTAAATGGTCTAATTATTTTTCGAACTATTAAATTGGCAGGAGATAATATCATCAAATTACAATGATCAGCTACCACAACACTTGCTGGTAGCCAAGTTATCATAAGGAAAAAGTTTGCTATCACAGTCATACCTGAAAATAAACTATTCCCAAATATTATTATAAAATTTATGCAATTAAATAACAACAATAAGAAGTGAAAAATAATATAACGTATGATGAAAGGAAATTACCTGAAACAGTTGATAGCTGTAACGTTACTAACAATTGATGCAAAAAATGCTACTGCTGTTGTGAGGGAGGTCACAAACATTGAAGGAACCGCATGTTTCATAGTTTCTTGTACTACCTTGGTTAAACTACCATTAGAATTTTTTTGTTGTTTATGTTGTTCCCAAATTTTACAGAATATGAATGCATCATCTGCACCAATGCCTAAAAATGATGATAAATACATCTTAATGATTATTTATCTTTAAATTTTTAGTTTATTATTAGAAATGAAAAAATTTCAACAAAAAAAGTGTTTAAAATTACGTACCTACTGCCACAATCACTGCCAGAAAATTCATAAAAGGAAAAAAACTAATCTTTAGAGCCAGAGTATAAATAGCATATGAAATTCCAAGACTAAAAACTACAGCTAATATCGTAGTGATCGTCAGAATAATCGAGTTGGTATATGCCCATATGCAAATTGTAATAAATAAAAATCCTGATAATAATAAACACGTGTCTGCTACTAGCATACGATCGAATAAGGTACTTTTTAATCCCAACTCCATTCCTACAACTTGGAAGTTACCGTATACCAAACCATCATCCTTAATATCACAATAGAAATCTGAAGCTGCAGAGCTTGCAGCAAATGGTAAAAATAACATGACAAATTCTAGAGTCGTGTTTGAATTATTTTTGACAACCTGAAATTAAAAATAATTTTAATAGTTATTCTCTTCTCAATTTTGCCAAACGATTGATAATATCACTTACTTCTCGTGACATAAAATTTGAATCCAAAAGAAAATGCAACAAATGATAAGGAGCATTATGAACATAACATTCAGGCGGTACTTGTTTTTGGCAATTAAAGTCTTCAGTACAGTCGGCAGTTAAATAACGATGGTGGTAATAATATGCACATTTTTTCAATAAATTTTCAATTTTAATTAAATCACTTTCAGTTACTCCCAAACAAGATGTACGATTAGATAAAAACGCAACATAATTAGCAGGACTCCAGCTTCTACAACATTTTTTACTTCGAGGTCCATCTCCTGTTGGTACTTCACAAATTGATGAAAACTTAGGATTTGCTCTAAACATAGCATCTATATGACATTGAGCTAAAACACCTTCAAGTGACCATAAACTTTTCTCTTTAGAATTTGATCCAATCACTACTCGAGCATATGCAGATGTTGGTACATGACAGAAAAAATCTTCATCTAAATGATTGTGATTTTCATGATTGTCAATATGTTCGAATTGATTTTTATTTTTCAATTTCAATAGTTCATTCCATTTATCTTCACTATTCGTGTCAGTTACATCACTGACTGTGTCATTGGAATTTTTGTTATGTTTTTTATTTTTTTTCTTTTTATTTTTTGGCTTTTTTCTCAAAATACCGGGAATACTTCTTGTGCTATTGAATGAATCTGTCGAATTCTGTAAAATAAATTTTTTGTAATTCATTAAAAGTAAACAAAAATTTTTAAAGCATTTAAAAAAGTATGTTTTTGAATTTCTAATGGTGTCAAAAATCATACTTGTTTCATCAACTGCAATAAATAATTATAGTATTCTATTGGATCATCAACAAGTTCTCCCCGAGCACCAGTTGCTCTCATCAAATTGTACCATGCTGTAAAGCGTTTAGCCAAAGGAGTACCACGTGCTTCAAACCCCTAGAAATACATAATAATTATTGTTTAATAATAAAAATAGCTGATATTATTACTTATAGTTTACTTACCATTTGAGGGTCTGAAAAATCGGGAAAGTTATTGGTAGCTAGAGGAACAATTAAACATGTTGATGATAGCACGAAAACTGCTGCCAAAATAGCGTAAGGATGATGAGCAACAACTCTCGAAAACCACCACACTTCCATAATTAATATTGAATTAAATAATTTTTTGGAGAAAATTAGACTGTTTTTTAGATTACAAAATTAAACATGATGATATATTTAATGATGAAAAAATTATTTTACTCAATTAATGGAATACATATTTTTGACACTGTCTGAATTATTTTTTTCAACATCTGTAATTATAGATTATATTTTTTAAATAGAATTAAGTGTGCTTTTAGAAGACTTATACTCCAAAATTACCTCTTAATGAACTCACCCATTTGCGTCTTTTATAAGTAAAATGTAAACAATGTATGTATGTGGTGCAAAAACTCCAATTTATAGTTATTTAAAGGTTGAAAAAGGTTTAACAACATTTATTTGAAGCACTATTCCACAGTATTTTAACAAAAAAATTAAAATGATGAGGAAAATAAGTGAAATCAGACTAAAGAAAATTGTGCTAAAAACTTCACCGTTTCAGGTTAGGTCAATGTACTGAAAAATAAGCATAGAGTCATTGTTAGATCTAATTTTGTTTATGAGAAGAGGTTTAAATACTAGACTATTTAATATTAATTACTTTCCAAAAAACGAAAAAATATTTTAGTGATTTTTAAAGCATAAATAGAACAGTATATTAAAAGATAAAAGGATGAACTCACATATAAAATTACGGCACTGAAGAAAAGGGTTCAGGATAAATATTACGTATATTACAGCACTGTTAACGTAAATATTTTCAATCCAACTGGGGAGTAAATACTGATTCACCCTCTCACATCGTAAAAACATCCTTATTTATTTTACATTGAGTTATGATTATGATGATACATAAATTAGAGGGTGAATTTGATTAACAACATTTATAGGATAAACATTTCATGCAAATATAAGTTTTATTATCACTAATTTAAATACTGAAGGTATGTTTTACACAAAAATGAGTAATTTTTTAATAATATAAATTAAACTTACATCAATGAGGTGATAAGTAGTAATTTCAGATAAAAATAATCATCCTAGGCACAAAATAAAACATATTCATGATTTTAAATCATTACAATACATTTAATAATTCACAAATGTCCCGATATTTAAATAGAATTAAATTTCACTGCTCTATTTTTTCGTTTTTTGTTTATCAATAACTTTAATTATGATCTAATTTTTTATGACAATGATAGTAAATTATTTAAACCCAGATCCTCACGAATTGATCCCAAGAACAACTTGCTACTGCCATTCCGTTAGGTGCAACACTCAAACATGTTACTCTGTTTTCATGTCCATTTAATGCTCCTAAAAAATAATAATAAAATTTAACAATTAAAATGAAATAATTATCTTTCATATATGTCAGGTGGTACTAGCTGAATTTAAATGAATTTTTAATAAAAATTACCATTATATTGAGCTTTTAAAGTATCCCATATGTGAATAGAATTATCATCACTGGCACAAAAAATAAATCTTCCACTTAAAGACAACCCACATGAAGTATATCCAGGATTGGAATTTGGAGGTTTATATGTTGCAAGTTGTTGATCTGATCTAAGATCCCAAAGTCGTGCAGTTTTATCTTCCGAAGCTGTAACAAAAGCTTGACCAGATGGATGGAACTGGGAAAAAAAATTATAATTAATATAAAAAAAATGCATGGTGTGCTTTTTTAATTATTTATAAAATATATTAATGCACATACACAAACAGAATTGACATCAGCTTCATGACCGAAAAATGTTTGTCTAGCTTTTTCTTCTCTTATATCCCATAACTTACATGTCTTATCAACAGATCCAGTAATATAACTATTACCATCAGGAGAAAGACTGATGCTCACAACATCTCCAGCATGAGCACAAAAATCTGTCGTTTTTTTTCCTGCTTCTAGATCCCAGATACATCTAAAAATGATCAGTAGCTATTTAAGTTAATATCAATTTGATTGAAATGATGATAACATAAAAAAGAGGCTCACATTTTCATATCTCCAGAACCAGTGATGAGATTTTTATCATCTAAAAATCGACATGATGATAAGAACCCTTCATATCCAAGAAGCTCTCTAGTAATTTTAGCAGATCCTGTGGCATCTCGATTATTAACATCATAAACAGTACACATATTATCCATGCCACCACAAGCAACAAAATTTCCAGACTGTGCAAAAGCTACTGACATGACCCAAGCTGATCGAAGGGGAATTACTTGAACTTTGTTTCCTGTCCATGAGTCCCATATGATTAATTTACCATCAAGAGATCCAGTTACACAGTGCCTAATAAACAAATTGAAAAAAAACTATAGAACTCAAAGATAATTTTTGTAAAGTTATATATTAAAAAATCGACTTAAATTGGCTGTTAAGTCCTTGTCTATTGTAAGACTTCGGTCAGACTTATAACTGGACTTACTACTAAACTACGTTTATTTTGGAGCTGATTTAATTATCTAATTAACAAATGAACAATATATAATTATTCATCTACAGTTATAATTAATATTTCAATTATTACCTGCTATCTCCACTGTAATGAACAGAATTCACTTTATTTATATGACCTTTGAGAAGTTTTTTAGTGGATAATTTAACTTTAGGAGCATCTGGTAGCGAACCACACACGTCTTCAAGTTTAGTGTCTTGTTGTTTTTTTTGATCCTCCTATTTAATTTTAATCATTGTTCAGGAAAATAAACAATAAACTAATTAGTAAATACAATAATTAAATAACATAAATAATAAATTGATGTTGACTAAACATACCTGACATTTTTTAATTAAATCATCAAGTTCTTTTTTCAAAGCAGTAGTTTCAGCATCATCTTTACCCATTTCTAATGGATTATTTTATTATTAATTATCACAAATATTTATTTAATACTGATTACCGATTGACAGGTAGCTTAAAACTATACTGGTCAAATGTTGAAGAAGCCGCAGTATCGAGTGTTGGCCTAGTAATCATATTAAATCAACGTCAAATCCTATTTGTTAAGTATTAACTTGGCTTGTCAATATAACTTGATTAGTTTCATTATAAAAGCGCTAATACGGTAATTGTACGGTAAACTTTAGCATCACTGCCCTTATTTCAGTATAAATAGGATTCATTTTTTATTACTGGAATCATACCTATGGGTATGATACTTCTTTCATAATTTGATGATCTCTAGATCATTTTTCAACATTTAATTTTTTTTGTTCTAAATTTATATAAATTAAAAATCTAAAATTAGAAAATAAAAACTCTATTCAAATACATTTATCATGATTGATCACCTTTTTGTATCATCCATTGATTCATAAAAATTTTAATAGTGATCATCATTAAAAAGCAACTTAAACACTTTACAAAAAATGACTTCTAAATAACATGACCTTCTCACTTGGTCATGAAAAATTAACTTAATCGAATACAAAGTACTCTATTAATCATCCTGCATAAAGTACACCAAAGTATTTACTAATATCACTCAAGATAGTCTGCTGACAATGATCTACTTTCAAATCATATTAATCCAATCAATAAATATTGTCGTTAATAAAAATATAATGAATTTAGTTATATTTCTAGCTTATTCAGAATGACATTAATAATTCATGGTAATGCAAAAATAAAAATTAATGAGAGTCGAAATAAATAAATTAGTAAGGATCGATTATTAAACCATTGAGGCTCTCAGTAAATATGATGAGTTATTTTTCGAAGATAAACATCAGCAACATTCACCTCTCATATTGGACGTATTGTCAACAGTAATTATGCTTGAGCGACAAACTGACACGAACAAATAGATTATCATCATGATGTGCTATCGGATAAAAGTCGATTTCCCGTTTTGATTTGCATACATTTGGTGTTTGTGTGGCTCAAGTTTCGCATCATTGCATTAATGACTATTTTCAGTGAAACATCCAGTTAATGATTGATTTAAAAAATATACATTTCGATGTTTAATAACAAAGATTTAAACAATTATATCTAATTAAATTGAAAAAACAACAATTACTATTGTGTTAAGAATGTTATTCGGTTAAGTTGTTTCAATTGATGATAGAATTGAAGAATTATTCCTGAAAATGTCAAACAATGATTAAAGTATTTATAAAAAGAATCAATAAATAAACAAAAATGAGTAAACTTACCAAATCAGATATTTATCAGGGATTATTTCCTATTTATCATCTAAGTAAAGTATCAGGTTTATTACCTGTGAGATTTGTTCACCAAAGAAATGATCGATACATAGGTCGTATTCATGTAATTGACATAGTTCTCAGGTAGATAATTGGTTTATAATCTATTTGAATAATTATTGAAAAAAATCAATCATTATTTTGATATTAATTAAAGTTAAAATGACATTATTAGAGTTAAATAATTATTTGAGTTGCGAGCAGTATTTTTCTGCTCGTACTGTTTATAGTTCTGGAGATATGGGGTCTTTGGAGAGATCTTCGAGATGGCTGGGTGAATAGTACGAGATTAAAACATCAAACTGCAGTGAATATTACAGTTGGAGATGTTTGTGCTGTTGCTCTTTTGGCGACTGTTGGAGTACTTGGTGCTCCCTTTCGGTGGAAGTATATTCAGGAAATGATTTCTCGTTTTGTTCATGTAAGCACTAAAAATAAATTGTTATAAATAATTATTAATTCTTAACGCTTTTTTATTTCCTATATTATATAATGAAATTAGGCTGATGATAAACTGGGATTCATTAATTTGAAAAAAACCAGAAGATTTGCTATCATTTTGGCAACTGCTACAATAATATGCTTCATAATTCTTGCTTCCCTTGACATTTACGTGTGGGATGCTCAAACTAAAGCAAAAAGAAAAATGTCAGATAAAGGACCGATTAATTATACGCCTGTTTATTTTCTCTATTTCCAAGCGCTCATGATTGAAATTCAATGTACTATAGCTACTTACAATCTTAATGAACGCTTTATAAGGCTAAACAAAAACTTGGAAAATTTATTGAAAAGCATGAAAAATACTTCTCGCAAAGATATTAGCCTTATTGGAGATCCTATTATTGAAACTGATAAAATTCCAGTTACTATTTTAAGACCAGAGATGCATAGTAAATCTGCAAAGAGAGTTTTCAGGACTCCTAAAAAACCAGAATGGACTAATGAAAGAGGTATACTTGAAGAAGTAATAATATTATCTAGTAAAATGTTTTTATACCTGAATTTTAATTGCAGATGCTGCTGAAATAGCTGATTCTTTATCACAATTGATCAGTATTCACTCGTCCTTGTGTGATATAAATCTTCTCATAAATAAAGCATTTGGGTTTCCAATCCTTGTTGTAGGAATCACTTGTCTTCTTCACTTAATTATTACACCATATTTCTTGATGATGGAGGCAAACAATGAAAGAGAAGGAATTTTTATATTTGTTCAATGCTTATGGTGTATCCTACATATTTACAGAATGCTTATGGTCGTTCAGCCATGTTATGCAACAACTAAAGAGTCTAAGAACACTGCTGTTCTTATCAGTCAACTTCTAACATATTCATGGCAACCAGATGTACGAAAACAATTGGAAATATTTTCATTACAACTTTTACATAGGCCATTAAATTTTAGTGCTTGTGGATTGTTTTCATTAGATAGAGCACTTGTTACCTCGGTATAGTTTTTTTTAATTATAAAATAGTATTTTCTATTAAATATTCATTAATTACAATTTAAAAAATAAAAAATATTTTTTATAATTTGTCTTTTAGATGGCAGGTGCAGTAACAACTTATTTAGTAATATTAATACAATTCCAAAAAGCTGATGATTCAAAAGATAATACAAATAACATGTTAAAAAATGCAACATTACTTTTAAGAAATGTGTCATCACTTCATAATACAACAGGATTTAGGCTTTCATAATTAAAAAAATAAATATAAATAAATTGATAAATAAATACGAATGATAATAAAATTTCTGATTCGTATAAAATCGTGAAAAAATGTTTGTTGTTGAACTTTAGAAATTAAACAGAATTAATTAATAATATATTAATAAGTAATTATTTACAATTCGATTATTTCAAAAAAAAAATATTATTTGTAATTATTAACACAATTATGAAGATTTTAAAGAAAATATGCCGTGATTATTAATATTGGAAACGTGGTCCATAATTATTTTTGTTTATTAATGTATTTTTATTTTATTTTTAATAATAATACAACAAAAGAAAACTAAATAAATAATACCGACAAAATAATAACAATTGTGTGATGAATGTAATTTAGTTTATGATAAAACTACAATAATGATCAATAAGGAAATTTGAACTAAAGAATTGTTTTATTGATACTTGATTTGTTAAATTTAGTATTTAATCAATTGATCATTAATATCATTAATATATTTATTTATTAATTAATTGTTATACTTTACTATTTATTACTATACAAGTCCATTCGTTGATACGTGTCTGAAAATAATCCATCACAGCCTTGCACAAATGTGCACAGTATTGTGGATGTCACCGCTTGGTATGGTAAAATATAATCTTTCAAGAAATAATTTTTTCTTTCACTTTATAACCACATACACGTACTGACTCGTTAAAAATACATATGTACAATTTCATTTATATATATGTATATACTTATGTTATACTAAAATTTATATTTATTCTGATGTGAATATCTAATAAACACTGATTCTATATGCATTGTCGTAAAAATATTATTAGTTGAGTAATAAATATTTTATCATGTATAATATAAGACATTAATACGTTATCCATTCCTTCTATATTTACTTTATATAAATAAAAAAAACTTTTTAAGTGCAAGAAACTACACTATCATTTATTTATTAATCGTATCTTTGTCCTTTTTTAGATTTTATTTTACATTATCATTTCAGATGTTAATTTTGAATTGAACGAATTCAATTGAAATATCGTTTATCTTTTCTTTTGCTTTTCTTTTTATTCATTAATTGACCACTCGATTCAGAGAAGTGTAAACTTCACCGATTATTTTTTTGGCAATTAATTGTCAATGAAGTCTCACCATTGTTTTCTTTAGACTGAATAGAATTTAGTTTGCATTTTGTATTGATAAATGTGATATCAGAATTGGAAATTGAATCTAAAGAATCGTTATCGATGTGCTTACTTTTTTGGAGACTTTTACATTGACATGAATTTGAATGATGATGTAAGCGAGAAAAACATTCACTGCAAACTCTCACTGGGTTATAAAGTTGCTCACTAGGAAGTGGTGTTGAATTTTCAGAGCAATCAGCGCAAAAAATTTTACCACAGCATCTGTAAAGTATAACTGTATTAATAACTAATCATTACAAAAAAAAAAATTGAATATTATTACGTTTATATAAAGAAAAATCGTTAAAAATGATGAACAGTTATTATTCACAACAGAAAATAAAACTCTTAGGGTGAAATAAGAAATGTCATCCTTTGTGACAAGGGATTTTGAATCAGTTTAAAAAGACTAATAGCTTTAGATATTTTTTATTCAAACTGCAATTAATTCCGTTTTATTTTTTTTAATTTTATTTAAGCAATGATTATTAATTATTTATGAATTTAAAAACTGCAAAAAATCATTGAAAGTATCGAAATATTTCTCGAATAAATTACCTCAGAAATCACTACTTTTTACACTTATTTCAGCAACATCATTTTTTGGAGTTCTTAGAGCTTACAAAGACCTCCTAGATCGACAAGAATTTATAATTGAGAAAAAAAGAAATTAAATAAATAATTTAGAAAAGAGAATCGAGTTAAATTTTTAATTCATTCTAGGTCTTATTTAATTTATAGATTTTTGTTAATAAAATTGAAGGAATAGTTGAAATAATAGTAATTATTATTGTACCTGCAATGATGTTTTCGTCGACCTAACCAAAATTGTGTATCACATCCCATACACCTATTGACAGCATGATCGGGAACCCAAAGTGTTGGAGCAGGTCCAATTTCTTCTACTGCTTCCCAAGACATATCTGAGGGTAGAGACTCGCCGTGATCTCCAGCACTACCTACTGAATCTGGTAATGAGCCCTATAAATAGAAAAATAAATTCATTTATTTATTTTATAAATCAATAGATACTACAACTTCATGATACTATAACTAAATATTTAGAAAAAAATCTTACAATTTCATCAGTACGATCGTTTTCTTCATTATGGTTATTACAGACTTTTTTAATTAAAGCTATCCGCGTAGTGTGTAATTCTTTTCTCAAAGCTTCTTCTCTCACCTACAAAAAAAAACATTTATTAAGTAAACACATTATAAAGGAATTGTAATTCAATACTGAAATAATTAAAAGTAATATAATGTGACCTTGTGTTCAACAATAATTTGCTGAATGCGTAACTGTATATCACAATGAAGAACGGGAAGTCCATCCACGTCGTCAAGGCTATCAGGATTATCTATGACAAGGTCTTGATGTATTGGAGAAGCAGGACATATACTGCTAGGTGTTCTTGATGTTAAAGGGACACTTGTTTCACTTATTTCACTCCCTTCATGGTTTACATGATTACATTCTGCTTGATCTGTATTATTTTCTACCCAAAAAGCCACATTTTCTTGAGAAAGAGACGTTTGACACCTAAAATAATTAAATCATTGAATTAATTTATTTATGAGTATTCAATGCATGAAATTATTCAACAACTCTATTAATACAGTGTTTGAATATCAACGATTTATTTAATGAGATAAAATTTATGAATTAATGATCAGTCAAATAAAAAGACTTACGTGTCATTTTTGCCATCAGATATTACACCTGTTTCACTACTGGGTATAAGAGTATCAGTAGAACTGTCTACTGAAGGATTATTTGGTATTTCATTATTATTGTTATGATTAGCTTGAGAACCATTCTCCTTTATTGGTTCACAAATGCCATTAATTTTATCGTCAATACTTTCACCTTCTGCTTTATCCGATACATTTTCCAGAGTAATTGCATCAAACTTTCTGTAAGTAATTAATAAAAGTTTTATAAATATTAGTATGCTGAACACTCATTATCAAATTATTAAAATAATTAATATATGTAATTGTTTAAAACATTTTTTATTTACTTTCTGAATAATTAGTATTATTAAATTTATCAGTAATAAGATAAAGTGAAAGAGCGAAAATTTGCCTCACTTTCTTAATCTCATGATGAAATTTATATTAATTCATCTTAATTAAATGTTGAGATTTAATATTATATTCTAAGTAGAAAGTAAAGTAATAAATATCAACATACTTTTCAATAGAAATACTGGGATCACTAAGTCGACGGTAAAGATAAGCTGCATGATCTTGTGGATGAATAAGATCACCATAAGATCGTGTTTTAGTCATTTGCCCATGAGTTTCATCTTTATCGTTGTTTTCATTATCGATTAGAGGAACTCTTTGTTTATCTGGTTTATTAAGTGACATTTCCATAGATCCAAGGTAGACTTCAGACCACAGTACAAGGTCACGTACATTACACTTTGGCCACAATACCTAAAGCAAAGCTATTGTCCATAAGAAATTAATTACAAATGAATGGTATTAAATTTGAATAAATATCTTGCCTGATTTTTCGACGGTGAATACAAATGGTTTATAAATGAACTTGAATTTAAAAAACGCCACACCGAAAATGTACGCTCTCTTATCCTTAATCGCAACCTTTCGTGTCTTGTATTACATAAAAATGTACCAAATAATTGCGAATATGTATGCTGTGCTAGTTTTACCTACATTCAGAACATTTACATATTAATTTTGTATTATTATGAATTATTCTTTGTTAAGGCATGACATTATGCAATACTGAAATGTCTTATTTTCTATTATTTTCAATAATAATGTCTTATTGGTAGAATTTCATTTGAATTAAACAAACATTCAGTTGATTACATAATGTCGTGTGATGGTTGAATAAAAAAACAAAATTGAATTTATTTACAAAATATGTAGAAGACATCTGGAAACTGCATGGGAATTGTTCGATTAATTGATGGACACAATCTAACCATTGAAGGAACACTGGACATCTTTCATTTGGATCATCAGAGCCAATTATCTGACCACATCGATCAGCAAATTTATGGCCAAAGTCTAACCATTCTCTCTCACAAAGTGTTTGAAATCCCTTGAATAAAAAAAAAATTAATTTTAATAATCAAAATAATAGCAATATTGATCATATTTCAACTGTCATACTTGATCTGGGTCTATACTATGAATTAATTTACAACAAACAAGCAATTATATACTCACTTCCATAGTTCGATAATAAGGATCTAATAATATTTGTGCAAGTGCAACAATCTGAGGCGTTCTATCCCATCCATCAGTACAATGCACAAGCACTGGACGTCCTTCTCTTTCAATAGCTGATGCAACAGTAACTGCAGCCTGCAGTAAATCAGACATATGTTGTAGCCATCGAGTTCCTTCTAATAATGTTAACCAATTTGGTAAATTAGCATCAGATGCACAGAGTTGTCTTATCGCGTGAAAACTTTTTCTTATCGAATGTATATTTGGAAGATTCATAAACTGAATGTCACAGCTGGAATAATAGTCTGGACACTCACAACCACCTCCACGTGCACGATTAGCTACCGCTGTTGTATAAGATCTTGCATCAATAATCAATACTTTTTTTGGCGTAGGACTTTGAATACTAACAGCATCTTCACTAGAATTAGATGATGAATTTGGAGAGTCAATCATCGTTGATTCCCCTCTGTCATATGAACATGCGTCGGATAAAGCTTTTAGTAAGTCTTCATCTTCTGGACTTCGCCAACCTAACCAACCTACTTCTGGTTGACTACTACGTGCTATCACAGCACCATTTCTTACGTTACGCCAAACAACAGCAGGAATCCGCCTAAAACTTCGGAACTTTCCGACAGCTTCTAAGATTTTGTCCGGAATACAAGCCGGTACTAAAATTTCTGGAGGATAGGAAGGACACATTTGGTAATCCTTGTTGATGTGACTGATACGCCAAGTTCCATGAAGATTGAATTTCAATCGTTCAACCTTGAACATAGAAATTTCCAATTTTCAATCTTGAAGTCTTTACTTCGAGTGATATTCTAAATTTATACATTCAAGCATGAAATTAATTAGTTATTGATTCATAAAGGTATAATTATCTTTTTAATAAACTTAATTGAATAATTGTTTGTTATTTGATATAAAATATGCCAAAAAAAACCAACAGTGATTAAAAAATCTTCAATATTAATTATTGTAGAATGAAACTTCGTTTCAATAATAGAAATTTCTAGTCATCCAGGAGATTAGATTTTTTGTTTAATACTTATTTTTATTTCTTCACGTGTAACGACAGTGTGTACAAAAAAAATTATTACACATAATTCAATCGTATAATGACTGTTAATAAGTCCAATCTGTTATTAATTTACTCAAAATTGTATATTCATGAAAAAGGTAAAAATAGCTACGATAAAAACCCATTGTTACTATAATTAAATTACAATACGTACCTCAGAATTAAATGTTGCAATGAACGAATTATTATCCTTCCCAAGCCTTGGATAGTCTCTACCTTCTTCAGTAGACCATGCATAATATGCAAACGCAAAAATATCTTCAATACTTTTTCGTGAATAAATAGCTTTGTGGATTCTCTTGAACCAGTCGAGACAATGTTCATTTGTCGAAAATGCACAGCTGTAAATAATTTAATATATTTATTGAATCAAGTATTAATGTTTACATGTTTTTGATAGTTAGAGTGAGAATTACAAATTAAATAAATATTTTAAACAATGAATTGCAAAAATGATATCAACATAAAGATAACTAAACAATAAAAATAAAATAATTGTTGTGAAATGACCTAAAGGTTGTATTGATAAATCAATTTAACACGTTAAAAGGCACGTGGATTGTTTGAACTTACTACATTGATTTCCATTTAAACTACTTAAAAGTTTTAACGAATAAATAGTATATCAACATATGGGATTTATCAAATATTATTAATAATTTTTAATATTTAAAAGCACTTATAATTGTTTTCAGATAGAAATACCGAAGGTCTAAGAATGGACAATTCAATCAAAGAATATTAATATTATTCACGAAATTGAATGTTGATTGATCAAATAATAAAATTTTTTATCATATAATCTATCACAACAGTATTATTATTAGAATTGATGAGCAGTAGAAAACAAATTTAGATCAAAGGTTATCATAAATTGTTTACTAACCCATATGATTTTCCAAGACTTAAATTACTAATTAAAAGTATGGAATAATTGAAAACTGATAATTGAATTGAGAGTTGGTTAGAATAAATTAATTATAAGATGATTCATGCATGATTTACCTCACTGAACGTGCATCTTTACAGCAAATATGAAGAAAAAAAATCTCTTTAACTTCGAGTTGTTCAATGAGACCCAATGGTATGTTGTAACACGCTTGGCTTAATTGCAAGTACAACCGATAATTAGATAATGCTAGTGTACCATCAGCAGTTCTTCCTAGTGCAACTAAAAATTCTCCATTTAACGGCGTAAATGGTATACTTAAAGATGGGTCGTCACTTTCAAAATGAGTATGCTTCGGAAAAAGCTCAGATGCACGAACATGACAAATTGATTGAAGACTTGAAGGTTCTTCTGATCCCTCCATAATTACACTGAAAATGATAATTTTTATCATTTTATTTTTTCTTTAATTTTTTAATAACAGTGTTTCAATCTTTGAATTAATTTTACTATCATAATTTTATAAATCAATATATTATTTATCTCCTTTAAATTAGAATAAAAATTTTTTTCGAATTTCATTAGTTTCACTTCTTAATTCTTTAAAAAGCAATAAGAAAGTAAATATTTAAAAATTGCCATACATACCAAAAAAGTAATTGAATTAATCTCTAATTTATCCAATTATCGTCACTTATAGTCCCTTTTAAAGCTACGAAATTATCACTCAGCGTTCTGAAACAGATACAAAATATTTATTTATGTTTTCGCCATATTTAAAAAAAAAATCTAATTACATTTCACAGCCATTCATTACTTTAAATGTGATTTATTCGCTTAATATGGAATGAAATTTTCACCTTCTTCACACCAATAATTATAATGATACAAAAAATAACAATAAAAGAGATGATATCCTTGACAATGATAGATGTGTATAAAGATTGTAAAAGACTCAATAAACAGATAATAAACAATAATGATACAAAAAGAAAAAATATCGCAATAATCTTAACCTTCGATTGGGAGAGAAATGGAAAGTCAATTTATGTCAACATGAAAGTTGGAAATGTCGGACATACATGCCTACATACCTACTCATAGTACTTAAATAATAATCAATTAAATCAATAAATTTTTCTTCACATTGTAAAAAAATAGATTAATTAGTATTTCAATAAATATGTACATATGTATTAAAACATATAAAAAAATATATTGGATGTGTAAGATCAATATAAAACTCGTTAACAGCACAGTCAGTATCCATACTAGTAATTTCTAAAATTTATTTATTATGACAAATAAGTCACTTACATTACTACTTTATTCCACAAAAAATTGTTCAAAAAGTCACGAATTATTTCGAAAACTTGAAAAAAGTTTCATAAAATCCTTGTAACTTAAACAATATTCTAAATGTTATGAATGGTCGTGACACTAAAGACAAGGTCTATGGAGGCCATTCTCTTTATCTAGGTAATCGACATTTTATTGAAAAGAAATTCATTATTCAGTAACAATAAATTGACGTTTCATTAAAAATAACATTCTACTAAATCACTCGCGAGTAAATAATAATTAAGTAAATTGTACTTGACAGTTATCATGTCTTTCACAACGATAAAACACAGTTTTCATTGCAGCGGCAATGTTACAAATTAATAAAACAAAAATATGATTTCATGCATTATATGTATATTTATATATATAATAAATATATGTGTAAAAAGTGGGATTGACCTTTGGCAAAAATTTTGTCAACATAAATATTGAAATCTGACCAAGATAATAAGTAAATCAGATTCAATTGAATTTTATAGTTCAACAGTACAGATAATAAAATTTTATCAACATTTTTGTTATATGAATGTTAACGTGCAGCCATTGTAATAAAATGCATAGATACAATACTGCACTCGCGATCAGAATTTTACATGTAGAGAATGTCTCATGTAATAGTAAATAGTCCACGAATTAAAATACATAGACACATTTGAGTTTTGCAAACTACATAAACATGAAAGTGCGTCCGAAATGGTATTCAAGGTATATTTACAACACAAACTTGATCATGGCATCATACTGTAATCAACTTCGGCCACATTTTTACTCCAATTCATTGATTTGACTGTTATTTAAATTGAATTGTGATAACAGATGGAAGTACATGACATTCTTTCATTTTATTTTTCTTTAGATTAATTAAAATCGTATTAATATTGTATTGATTTACTCATCAATGTTAAGAGAGAACGATTGCCTTTCGAAATACTACACGCTGAATATAAAGTGCTAATTCACTAGAATACATATACATACATGTATACAGAGAGCAGCTGATATGTAAATATAAATCACTCTCAGTCCAGACGCGTCGATGATATATTTATAATACATTTGGTTCGAGTATCGCGTCAATATCCTAATACTCACGAAAAGTTATTAAATCTTTTATTATTATCACATTCATTATTTTTATACACGATTAACATGTAAAATGATGACGAACAAACTTGGCGCACAGTTTTGTACAGTCCCTAGGACTGTTGTTGGTACGACTGTGTATTTTTTCCTGGTATCGCCAAGTTATTGAACTGCCCTCTGTGGTCAAATTTGATAAGTACTGTAGAAAAATTTCTACGAATTACCTACAGTCGATAACTCATGGAATAAAAGAAAAGGTCACGGCATTCATTTCAATCTATAAAAAAAGAAATCAAGCCAGGAAGGCAACACTACTGATTTTCCAATAGCAAGAAAAAATATGGCGTAGGTGTGTTGTCATTTTATAAATAAAATAAACGAAGTGTAACGATAATATTTATCAAAATTTACTGGTGGTTATTATCAATGGATACGGAAATCGTGTGACCTCTGGTGAATATAATGTATATTACTTGAATCAATGTGTCGATTGTCATGAATAAAGTTGAAAACGTTGGCAATCCATTTTGGAAAAAGGTATGTTGTGTTGTAATAAACGTCAACAAAATTGTATTCTTTAGATGATACACCTCGTTAACTCTGTTTCACGAAATAAAACTCATCAAGAGGATAATATATATTTATTGTAGTGAAGTTTGTGAATTTGAACTTTTTTTAACGTAATAAAACAATGATGAATCGTACTGACGGATTAGTGCAAAGACGAAGAGTAGTCAACAGTGGCAATCCACAGAACCAGGATGGAACTTCCGATCATAGTGGAGTTTTTAATGATCAATCCTCAGGTCATGGACCAGAAGCCGATGGTAATTCTCCCAAAGATCTTAACTCCAATCCAACAATTGATGAAGATTCAGATAAAGAAACAAGATTGACACTCATGGAGGAGGTTTTATTACTCGGACTCAAAGATAAAGAGGTTTATTAGTTTATTACAATTAATTGATATTTTGCTTATGAACTAAGTTCATTCAATTATTGTTTTCATTTTTGAATTAATAATATTTGTTTATGGATCAAAAGTTTCATGCAATTAAATTTATTTTTTGCACTCTAGGGTTACACTTCATTTTGGAATGATTGTATAAGTTCAGGATTAAGAGGATGTATTCTAGCAGAATTAGGACTACGGGGTCGTGTTGAACTAGAGAAAGCTGGAATGCGTAAAAGAAGTTTATTGACCAGAAAATTATTAGTCAAAAATGATGCACCCACTGGTGATGTTCTTCTTGATGAAGCACTTAAACATCTCAAAGAATATGAACCACCAGAGCCTGTTCAATGTTGGATTGAATATTTAAGTGGTTGGTGATTGAAAATTTTATGTAATTTAATGATAATTCATAATAACACTGTGTTATTTTATTGTTCGTTTTTAGGTGAAACATGGAATCCTCTAAAGCTTAGATATCAGTTAAAAAATGTTCGTGAGAGATTAGCGAAAAATTTAGTTGAAAAAGGTGTTCTCACAACAGAAAAACAAAATTTTTTGCTATTTGATATGACAACACACCCTTTGACTGACAATTTAGCAAAAACTCGACTCGTTAAGAAAGTAAGTAATTAACATGTAACTAATTTCTATCTAAAGTAAAAATACTAAAATTGAACGTTAAATTTTTATAAATTAACATAAACACTGGTAACATATGACAGATATTATTTTATTGAAAAATTTTCAGATTCAAGAAGCTGTTTTGTGTCGTTGGGTCAATGACGCGAGTCGTATGGACAGAAGAACATTGGCACTTGTATTCTTAGCACATGCAGCAGACGTGTTAGAAAATGCATTCGCTCCTTTATCAGATGATGATTATGAAGTGGCCATGCGCCGAGTAAGAACGTTATTGGAGCTTGATTTCGAAGCAGAAGCTGCTAAACCCAACGCGAATCCAGTTTTATGGGCAGTTTTTGCTGCATTCACCAAGTAACATTACCCCAAGGATTGCGAGCATCAGGTACCAATATTAAATATATTTGCAAAAATTTTTAATATGTATGTCAGTTCCAAATGTTTATAACATCATATCTTAGATAAAATCACATATTTGATATCAAGTCATAAAAGACATTCCCTAAAATTGACAGCCATCAATTGCATCATGAGCTACATTTGTGCCATGTGAAATTAAAAAATTAAGAAAATATTATTGACATTGTTGCATTTACTTCAGTTAAACAGTTTTTTTAATTATTTAAACTTTATGAACATAATAATTTTAACTTAGTTAAGAATCACCAACATTTTTACGAAAATAAATGATTCATTTTAACCAAATTTTTATATGAATGAATTCAGAAATAAAATTGATAAATTCAGAGATAATTTTTTCACCGTTTGAGAGTGGTATTTTTTAAATAAAAGGAAAATTTATTTTACTTTTACAAAAATTCTTCGAATAGTGAAAATTACTATGGTAATATTAAAATATAAATTAAAAGTATATAAAATAAAATTATTAATAATGGTTGCAGGTCAATCATTAATTGTTTAATAAAATAATTCCAATAATGATTGATTATAGTTATAAATAGCACACAGTTAATTCCTTATAAATCAATATTCAGCTTTTATTCTTTTTTTTTTGATGTGTTAACAGGAACCTCTAATAAATCACATAAATATGATTTAATAGCAAGCTGATAAGCTTGCCTTTACTTTATGGCAATGTGGTAGTTTATCTTCCACGACGAATTTTCTTCCCAAATAATTAGAAGAGTTGGTGGGATTTGTTTTAAGGAGTCTATCTGATGGATAAAGGTTTTTATAATGTTTAAGGTAAAGTTATTGGATAAAAAATTTTGATTTATATTTGATTTTAATAGAATATGAAAATTTTTAATATGAAGTTTTTTAATCGCTTCATTATTTCTTAAATAAATAATAATTTATCCTAATTCAAACATGAAAAAAATAATTGCAACGAATGGTAAATATAATTTATTAAAAGTGTCATTATTGTTCAATCTCTTTTTGATAATTGAATGAATTTACAGTAAATGAAAAATAAGAATGAAAATTATAAAATTTAATTTTGTATTGAGATTGCACAGTATTATTATTTCTACTAATATCGATGAAAATCATACATATGTTGGACTTTTTACTTGTTATCTTTTTATAATATCAAAATGAGATATCTATATTTGAATCATTCATTCACGTAAAATGGTGAAAAAATTAATACGAATGTAATTAACAAACAAGTTATTAATAACTATGCAGAATAATTTACTTTAAGCACTGAAAATTTTATGGTGAAATTATTATATTAAATAGGAATTAAATGATATTACTGTTTTAATATTTTAAAATACAAAATGTTGGTGATATAAATATCATGCATATATTATACATATATCGATTTTTGTTGTTTCACTATTTTTTCTTATGTTACATACAGTATATACATACACAATATGTTAATAGATAATTGTACAAATAATCTTAAAGTTACAATATACATAATAATATATTTACAGATAGTAGTTCTAAGTAATAAGCATTGTATTAAAAATAAGCATAATGAAATAAATACAATCTTCAATAGCTTTGTACTATCTATTAATTATAATTCATAAATATATCTATCAACTACTATTATATAAATTTATGTAACAAGAAGTGTGCGAAAAATTCGTAATATTCGAATCGTTGAGCAGATAAATTTAATTTCTAATATTTTTTTAATGTTAAGAATAAATTAAAAACTTTCAATAGTTGTTGTATAACAACAAGAAATGAATAGACGTTTGAAGTAATGTTATAAATAAAGACCAAAATTTAATCTACACGATAATTAACGAGTTTAATTATGCGGTCATTTTGTATCAAGTTTATAATTTAGATTTAATCATAAAAAAAATATTTACCCTAATAAAGGATAATATGACGTCATACTTAAAGAAGCTTAGATTAACTCAAAAACTCAATTTGAGATTAACTTACTGTAAAATTCAATTTTAACTCGTTACATTAATTTACATTAAATCGGTTGATATGTATTATACGATAATATTTCATCGTTTTTTATGTATAAATTATTTCTTTCTCTTTTTTGGTATTCCATTCATTTGACATTTTAATGTCTACGAATCATTAAGAGCAGCACTAATGATTCCATATTGTCCAGTAGTCATCCAGTTCGGATCTTTATGAGAGAGTTCAGCAGCTTTATCAGAAGATATTCCAACAATCAAATCTGCTTTTACAGTACGTAGTGCAATTAAGTTAGTCGGTTGAAATTCTCTCAAAGCAGTTTTCAATTTAGTTGAATATTCCCAGTTAATGTCTCCCAGTAGTTTTCGATAATTCAGATCTCCCTTGGTAATTATTAAAACCGCTTCTGATAATTTATTATATAATTTCGGTGTTTCAGTTTTCATTTTTGAAAAATCAAATGGTTCTGTCCAGAAGGATTCAACCTATTATAAAAAATTAAATTATTACATTGAAGAGTTAATTTTATAATATATAAAATTAAATTTTTATTTACTTCAATAGACCATCTTTCAGATTTTAAATATTCCAAGCATTTTTCTCCCATTGCTTTTAAATTATTGTTTGATGAATTTTTTAATTGATCTATCATCCAATAAAAGTCTTTTTCCATTGTATCACTTACGAACCAAGGAAACATTTTTACATAAAAACGTATTTTATGAACTATATTTTGACTAGTTAAAAAAATTCCTAAACATAAATCAGTAAAAAGTTCGTAGCCTGCATTATCCAATATTACATCAACTGTAATATTCTTTCTTGTTTCTTTAGCTTGATTGAGCAGATTCCATACTGATTCACTATCGTTAATTAGAAGGTTCTCTTCCAATTCTGCAATTTGGTCGAATGGATTTTGGTCTTCTACAGGTATTGATGCTCCAGCACTTAAAGATAAATCACACCTAAAGTCAATAGATTAAATGAAAAATTATTAATATCCAAATTTCTTAATTGTCTTAAAGATTTATATTTTGTAATTTTATAGACATACTGGTTTCCCCAAAGATTCATTTTGAGTAAATTAATGAAATCAGTTTTTTGTTCATCAAGTGAATAAGTTTCAGTCTTATTTAAAAGTGTGTTTATAAATTTAGCTAAAGATGACATTGGTGCTAGTGATTGATGGAAGCTTTCATATTTTAAACTTTCAAAAGGGTCATACGAAGTTAATGTTTTGCTAAAATATAAAAATATTGTACGTTTAGTTTCAGCATTTAATAACTAATTCAAACGAATTTTAAACAACTTACGTTACTTGAAATATTTGTGCTATTCGTCGATACATGTAACATTCACTAAATAACCAAGTAGCATTGTACCATGTTGGTGGTTTGCCTTTATCAATTTGATTTTCAATTTCTCTATTCCATTTAATAATATCATTGCTATTTTCAGTATTAGTACTATTTAAACGTGATAAAAACTTATTAGTCATGAGTTCACTTTTTAACTCACTGAGATCACCAATAACTTGTTTCAATTCTTCTGCTGAATCCTATGAAATATTCATTTATCGTTTAATCTTGAAGAAATAATAAGCCATTCTGATCACTTTCATTGACTAAATTTTATTTTTTATCACTGGAAAAATTTTGAATTAATAAAATTATTCAAAATTTTATTTAAAAATAAAATTTAGTCAACAAATTTATAAAAATTTATTTGACATTGAGGTTAAAATGAAATGAAATGTTTACCTGTCCATATTTCTCAATAATTTCATCTTTACTCCTGCTCATTCGGTCAATAATTCGAGTTACTGTTACAGGTACTCGATCTTTTAGAGTGACATAAGCGAAGCTTCTGTAATTTTAATATTAGGATCCAATAATAAACCATGAGAATGAAGGAGTCGGAGGTTATGTAGGTAATTTTGGTTGTACTTACCTTTTATATAATCCTGACAGATGTGATCCAAATGGAGGAGATGCATCTTGAAGACCCATTATGTCTAGTGCTGATGATGACATATTACCAAAATATTTGATTTTGATATTACATGCAGTATCTCCAGTGTGACTGAACAAAATAACCAAATACGATGTCAAAAACAACCTTGTCATTACGATAAAGAGAGCCATCTTTTTTGAAAGTAAGAAACTTGATATTTTAAAGTTAAATAACTTTGAATAACATAACAATGTATCTTATATAGCTATAAGTAAACCTAAAAATAAATTACTTGTCCTACAAAATAACTAATCAAAAAATTAATGCTGATAAATTTGAGATCAGGATAATAAGGTCAAGTTGATAATTTTATTAAAAAAATTAATTTCACAATTTTTATCAATTATTGCAAGTTAAAAAACAATAAAATGTAACTGATTTGTGACCCTAGAGATCCATAGTGACCATTTCCTAATATTTATTATTAAGTATTTTTTCTACAATAATTATTATAAATGTAAGTTTTTATCATAAATTATTTTTTGCAATATAATGAATATAAATAATCATTTAAGAAATAATGTTTACGAATTCATCAATCTGTTGAATGTAAAGTGTGCCAATTGAACAATTAAATGGTAAACTTGATAATTTTCTGATGATTTGGATGTTTTTTTTCTAACATTTTCTCCATCGTATTCAGATAAAGAAACTTCATGTCAACAAACATTATTTGCTCAATAAATATTGCGAGTTTTAATTGCGTATAGATTATAAGAAAACTATGTAAATCTATTGGATGAAAATAATAAATATAACATGTTTATACTGAATGGAATTTACCAAGTATAAATGAATTACTTCTTGAGTATATCAACTTTCATTATTTTCATTTTTAAACAGTGCATAAAAAATGAGAAATGATTATTCCAAATGACAGGTGGAAAGATAATAATTTTAGAAACTTATATAAATAATTGAATCCTAAAGTGAGTTTAAAATAATTTTGATAATGTAATGAACTGTTTTGGTTTCTACATGTGGTGTCACTTGCAGGCAGAATGTTCAGATATTTGGATACGTTTGAGATGTCATTGTTTGACGATTCGATAACCGCTTCATTTAAAGCTAACACATCATTACGAAACATGTCTATCAGGTTGTATTGTAACATATTGTACGTTCTCTTCAACACCCCTACCCGCTATTGTACCGAATTGCATATATGTATAGTAGAATTATCCCCAGAGGCGGCACGCGAGGCACACAAATTTAAATTTTTAATTTTCGATAATTGAGATTGGAATGGTAAATTCATGCAGTGCATGGATTAGCCAATAGCATTAAAAAAGAACGACGAAACACTGTAGTTTATCGGATAAATAACGATGTTGAGTATATGCATTGTGTGATAACTATTTGCATTTATTTTTATCATCGTTTTTGTCATACTGATATATCTACCAACGTAAAATTGTTAATGCAGTTCTAGCATATTTGATTTTTTGTTTTGTTGACGTGCAGGTTGGTGAAAATTCAGGATCAAAGTTAAGTTTGTTAAATATACCTCTCAGTCGTGTCTTATCGTAATCATGCGGACAAGATCATTGACCGTGCTCTAGCATAATAATAACCTTATTATATTTATTCACAAATCTAATTACATAGGTATCCCATTATCAGTACTTGCAGGTATAAGTTCATTTTCGATCATTATTCAAGTCTGATTATTTTTTATGTTAAAATAATTCACTTTTCCAGCAATCACCTGATATCTCTTTTCAGGTAATTTTCATAAATGAAAAAAAATGTCTGACTCTGACAATATTCATTGTTTGTAAAATTTATTGTTATGCATTATATCTTGATGATGAAATTAATAACATTTAATAAATCTTCTTACTTATCTTTATCAGTTTATCCGTTTGAATTTCAAAAAATACTTGTAGCATGACTTGACTGATTCATTCAAAATATTCCGAGTAGTAAAATTTTTATTACAGTTATGACCTTGCTCTAATCTGATACAAATCTTGTCAACGTTTATTGCTGAATGGAATTATAACAGCATTAAGCAAATCCATTTATTTATTCATCATAAATAACAAAATTATTTTAAACTCTTTTTTTTAACACAATTGTTGGTTTATTCATTCATTGTATCACTTATTGCTTTTTACTTCATTCATTTTAGAGTTTATTTGTTATAAAAAAAAGAAAAAATAGCTATACCGAATTTGTTTAAATTCCTTCCAGATTTTGTATTATCTTTTAGATAAAATTATTCATCAATATCTCAATATAACCTTTTAAATGTCTCCAAACGTAAAGATATGACAAATTTACAAACTTTGAAAATGAACTCCATTACAATGTCTTCCTGATAGAAAATAAAAAATTAATTGTAAAAAATGGTTATTTATTAAAAGTAAATTTAGAATAAACATAATTAAATTTATACCTTGCAACCATATAAAGTAGACACTATCTTAAGATTCCAAGCAAAGACGATATTTTTTGTGACAAAAAGTTGGTTAATATTACTTTGAGATTGTTCAAGATTGATAATACCACTTCTTACAACAACTAGTATATTGCATGCATCAGAACTTTAATGTAAATGTTAGTTGTTCAGTTTGATGAGAAAGAAATCAGAAGAGCAATAAGTAATTATCTTTGGCTAAAGTGTTTTTGTAACAACAACTGAAACTTGAAAATTATAAACTCACAACATAACTCATTCGCAGATGTACTCGAGAACTGAATTCATACTACTTAATTCTATAAACTCTGATTTAATTTAAACGAATATCATTCTAATATGATTCCAAACGTAAATTGAAATAATAGTTGGATGCAATTGATGTCTACAGATGAAGACTCCGCGTTGGTGTAGGGACTGGCAACAATGTTGCTAATTACTACATACCACCGAGTGCGGCATAACTTGCGACCCACGAATTCCGAACGCCACCGTGCGCTCTTGCTACCGGTAAGTTAATTTATCGAGCTCATTTGTGAATAACGTTCTACATAAACCATGATAAATACCGCAATTTTCTATGAAAATTATCAAAAGTATGAATCGGTGAAGTCTCTTAACGCAGCTTGCGAATATTGTGAGATACCTCGAAATATAGATTAAAAATGCAAACTATGAAAGTTCATGGTTAATTATTCGAGCAAATGGACTGTGTGCTACTTGAGCCATACTTGCATATGCAAACGTTAGCATGAATTAATTTTTTTCTGGATAACACGTTCAGCTCATAACGAATGAATATATACAACACACTACATATATTTATTCATATACATCTATATATATATATATATATATTCAGCACATTAATAAATAATGTATTTATTGCTGATAATATTTTTGTTTAATAATTGAACACAAATGAAAAAGTAGGTTATGTCCAATTGTGTGGAGAATCATTCAATGATTGGTTCTTGATCATTTTTTATCAGATATCGAACTAACTATTGAAATGTATCAGCATTACAGTAAATGCCAATACTAAATCTAGATTTAACTAAATTATCGTCTCATTCGATACTAACTATGATATAATTCCTGAAGTGGATTCAGTCGAGGTGGAGCTAATTTTATTCACAGAAAAAAATATATTTCATATCTGATAGGACGATATGATAAGCATTGAAAAATCAGAGATTCAAAATGTACGTCGTATTGATTTTGTTATTTATTTACATATGAATAAGTATTATAATCAAAACATGCTATTTTATGGGTAATTTGTAGTGTACATATTTCATATTCTTGTCTTACTATAAAGCAGAGTATTATTTTATCGATAGTTTTAACTATTAGGTTTGTTTTTAATAAATGCACAAATTACAATTGAATTTGCTGAAGTAAAATCCACTCATTAGTGTAACTTTGGCTTTTAAAGTTAATTTTGGTCTTTATGTGAGTAGTGCTCTGTAGAATAAGGCCATCAGTGGTCAAATGAGTGTCCACTGATGCTTTTCGTTCTATTAAGGAACGAGTGAGATTAAAGTATGTGTTCTTAATGGATTTAAATATCTCCATACTTTCCCTAATTATAAAATAAATAAATTCATATTTTATGTCTGTTTAATACTAACATTGAATCTTCTGTTAAATTAATTTATAAACTCTAATTGGCATTAGAAAGTTGAAAATGATTCAGATGTTTTTGTTTTCAGGCTTAAATTAGAAGTTTTTATTTTAAACTAATTCTCTCTGACAATTCAGATAGTATAAATTTAAATGCGATAAATTAAGTAGTACTATCACACTTTCTTACGTAATTTTGTTTCATAAACTAATTTTATAGAACTTCTGGAATTTGTTATTTTGTTACTAGTTGATTCTTGAGCATTCTTTAAGGGCTCTTGAGATTTTTTTGATTTTTTTTTTTTTTTTTGCTTTGAGCTGGACTTCTTAATACTCTTAAATTAAACTAGCCTGTACATCAAACAAGTTTAAATCCAATGAACCAAAAAGAAGTTGAAACGACTTTAGGAGTACTTATATATTTTAGTGATTGTACAACACATGTTATCATTTTCAAAAAATCTAGAATCATCTTTTTCTCGTTGTCTCCATTTTGTTGCAAAGAAAAAGAATAAATTTCTGTATTATTAGTAATAAATTGAGTCATTAATAGTTGATTACCCATAATGTTTACTTTTTTAACGCCAAAAAAATTGATAATAGCCGCTATTATGATTCTGTTCATAGGTCTTCTAAGCTGGCTAATTCTACATAAAGGGTCTTCGTCTTTTGGAGCATCAGCACTAGATCCTTTTACACCTGACCTTGAAATAGAGAGGGAAATCGAGGAGGAGCATAGTAAATTATTTACAGAATAAAAAAATACAGATGATCACCACATTATCACTTATTGATGACTTGTACTTTGACTTTTCAATATGATGCTATTTGGCAAAAGATTGATATGCATCAACTCAACAAAAGTAATGAGCTCTTATTATATTACTTCCCATGATTGTATTAGCTAGGCACATTTTATTATTAGAAAAATATTCTAGAAAATTTGCCTACCATTGGAAAAGTTGATATTTGTTGGGAATGGATACTTTTTAATGAATACAGACAAATTAAATAGAAAAGGAGCAACAGAGTATCAACCTATCATGTATGTGTCAAACTGTGATTGCTTGTTTTATATATATGTGAAAAATATTTTTACTTTCTATTATTAGAAACATTAGGTAAGATACTGATAATAATCATAAAAGAACTTTGTTATAATGACTTTTGATAGCACAATAATAGTGGTTATTTGTCTGATAATTTTCGCTGGAGGTGTTATATATTTCATACTCTTCTTAACATCTTCTGTTACTGTAAATATAAAGCAGAAACTTATTACAGAACATAAAAAATTATGAACAATATTAAATCATGAAAATTATCACTAAAATTATTATTATGTAAAACATCAATGAATATGATTTTTCTTATGAAAATGCTTCTATTACAATTAATTGAAATTTGTTATGTTTAATCACATCTCATTAGTGACATGAATTTTGAAAACTGTAATTATTAAAAACATGATTATAATTAATGTGATTATTGAATATGGATACATTCTCTTGAAAGATCTAACAAAACAAACGAAATGGTAATTAAAAGATACTTCTCGAATAATTGAAATTACATATTACAAACATTATGTGGAGTACTTATAAAGACTACAAATAAAACTAGAAAATTGACAATTTCAAACGAGAATAATTCACATTTTATACCATCAATTTTGTCAATGCATGAATAAATTGAAAATATTATTATTCAATTAATTGAATATTATTGTAATATAATATACCAACTAATTTCTCAAACTTATGAAAACTTTTATCTATTTTTAATTTTAGATATAATTTATAATTATTACATTTATGATCAATTTTGATATTATTAAATTAGTTCATATTTGTTAGTGGTTAAATAAAAAATAAATATCTTTATGTTAATAGTGCATCATGGTGTATTGTAATTCTAGCAGAGAGATTGGCTTCTCCCTGGTTCAACATTGGGCTATGGATGGCTTAGATTGACACAGTGTTAAACCAGAAATGATTAGTCGTGCTTATCTGCTGGAGAAGTGCAATAATGATTTGATTGACAGTGAAAAATTTTATTTGTAATATTAACTATTAGAGAAATTACTAGTCAGGTTTATTTTAGTTAGAGTAATGTCGTGATGATCTATAATTTAGATACTTAATTATACTTTGTTACTTTAATTCATTAAAGGAGATTCAAATGAATCTCTTGTTGGATGATATTGTCAAATCTGTGTCACAAAATTTTTAATTATAGATATTGTAAGCTTTCTACTTGTCAGATTCTCATGGAATAATTTATATATTTATTCTATAATTATTATTATCCCAATAATTTTATTGAAATATGATTTTCCTTTTTTATTGAAGAAGTTGCCTATGAATAAAACTGATTCCATTTCTATAATAAGCTTATCAAATGACTGATAGAAATAACTTTATAAAGTAGAGATATTACAAGTTCAAACTAGCAGGCATGCATAAAAAATTGTTTGACTTTGTCACTTGATTGAAAAATGTCAAGCTTATCTTAGTTGATCATTTTTCTATCTCGTTTGATTATTTTTATCTTTATGTTACTATTAAAGTTTGCAATGAAAAATCTAACTTGCCAAATAAGTCAATAATAATTAATTTGTTTGTATTAATGTATAAGTAATTGATAATGTTATACAAAAATATAAACTAATAATACATTCGTTAAAAAAAAATATTACAAATATTTATTAAGGTTAAAATTATTAATAATGAATAAACGTAACGTCCGATCAGCTATGGTCTAAGCTACAATCTAAACATCAACAAGCAAATCGATCGTTGCTAACAACAAATTTATCCACGGTTGAGCATACAAATCAAATATTTAACAATATGAAACACTTGGATGCATTAAATTCTCTAAAAAAGTAAATTTAATTTATTAAAGATAAAAATTGATATTGGTTTAATGAGAATTACACAACAAATGTGTTTATTTAAAAAAAAAAAATTCTAATAAAACTGTGAATGTTATTTATTGTAAGCTGGTATTTTTGCAAGTATTAAAATAAGATGAGCTACATTCAAAACTTACTATCTCTAATGTTCCAGTAATAAAAAAGCAATGTATTATCTGACAGTGAGAGAAACGATGTTTTTATATATAGAAAAGTTATGAAAACAAAAAAATCAAAATGAACATCTTAGTGAATTCATGGTGGACGATAAAAAAATGGAAAAGATTAAAAGCATCACAACGTCGGATGCTTGTGAATTTCTACTAGGGGGGTAATGGTTCGTACGAATGGAGTTACGCGGTTAGAAATTACAATTCGAATTCCAGAGTCCTAGTGTGTAGCCTGAACTGGCAGTTGACCCTCGAGCGCGATTCCACGCTCGTGCAGCTTCGACCATTTGGCATTCTAGAATTGTAATCGCAGGTCTCGGTTCATCCTTGTCGTTTTCGTTTACACGAGGCGTTGACTGTCGCTAAATTCCACTTTAATTAATATCTTTGTTTCAGACACACACACATGTAAAATTTATTATTACACCATAAGGGTCAATAATTTGATTAATGACATCAACTTATGTTGTGAAACAGACTGATACAATGACTTGTTGTACAGCTGTAAAGTATTTGTATATTTTTTCAATCAGGATACAAGATGTGAAAAGCGAAAAATCTATTCGATAGTTCATTCCGCACTTCAATTTCCTTCGACTGAGGGTGGAATTAATGAGCGACAACTGCGAAACGGGAGTCTTTCAGTTATTGATTTTTTTCTCGTCTACGAAGCATCGGCATTAACCTCGGGAAAGTTCACGAGAAATATTGCGTAGTCTTCACCTGACCTGAAAAAATTTTCA